CGCCCCTCATAAACACTTTCGTCACGTTGAACTCAAATGCTAGCCACTGCTTTTCAGCACCGTTGCTGTCTTCGTTATTGTTTTTTTGTGTTGTTTTTTTTATTTTTATTTTTTTGGGGGGGGTGGGGTCGGGGTGGGGGTCTCGGTATTTACAGTGCTTTCGTGATGTCCTAGTCCAATACCAACGATGACTCATGACGATGGGTTTAGGCCCCAGGTGGTTGGTACGGGGGGCAAAAGTAGCGGTAGAAGACGCACACAGTAGTAGAAGTAGTAGAAGTAGTAGAAGTAGTAGGAGTAGTAGTAGTAGTAGTAGTTGTAGTAGTAGTAGTAGTAGTAGTAGTAGTAATAGTAAGTAGTCGTCGTCCCGCAGACGTAATAGCGGCGGTGTCTTTTAAAATGGCATTCCAAACCCCAGAGCCGAAAGTAAAGATCCAGGTGCCAAATCCCAATCCCCAAAACTTGAGCCCTAAGACTCGTAAGACGTCCAAAAGCCAATGCCCAAACCAAAACTTAACCCCCAATCCCGAACCTGAAATCCGAAGCCTTAAGTCCCAAATGGCCGCCTCGCGCTGAGTGCTCTTTATGTACCGAGTGGTCACAGAACGCCCCCGCTTATAGCGGTGTTCGGGCTCCTGGTGTGGCAGGTAGTAGGGCTTTTGGTTTAGGGTGGAACAGGCGCGTGGGGTTTCGGATTAATATAAGGGCCTTCATAATTATAATTAGAACACGCTTCGGGGGCCCATTATACTAGAATTCTAATTAAGGGATCTCTAAAAAAGTACGGGTAAGTTTTTCAGGCCTCTATATTACTTGCCTGTAAGTCGTTTTCACACAGCGAGGTCTCTCTTGCGCCACAGGTTTGAGTCCGGCCAAAGCCCGGTTGTATCGGGCCTGACCGAGTTTTCTTCCCAGAACCTAGTTTGGTTGTATGATTTTGGGGCTTCGGGTTTTGGGTATTGGCGTGCTGCATGGTCGCGCATTGTTTGCATGCTTTTTTATGTACACAAGAGCATGCTGTCGAAGCGTTTATCTTACAGGGGTCGCGGAGAAAGTAACAGTCAGTGAACGAGGAGCCAGAATTTAATGGCTAGAACATGCTTTGGGGGGCGTTACGTTATGATCAGACTAAGTAAGGATTATACAGTAGGATCTTATTTAGTACTCATTCTTCCGACCCCTTTGCAAGATCTTATACTCCTCGTCATCGCTACCATCGGAGCTGCTGGTGGAATCTCGCGCAGCTGCTCGCACTCGAGAATCTCAGCGTTTTCCGACGTGTTCAACTCTCAAGCCTGAATGGCTCCGATATGTGAGTCTCAATAGTTACCAATGTTGCATTTATTCAGTCATGTGATATAGCCCAAAAACCTTGTTCGAATTATGTATGTCTCTATAGAAAGCACCCACGACCTTCCCCAAGGACTCCAATAGCACTTCAGCAAAGGCTTCAATCTTGCAGAGCAAAGGACAAGTCTTCTATGCTGCCCCTCCGGTCTCAAGGTCAAACCGATCTAGGGTTAAGTCTTGAACTGAGGTTTTCCCAATTACAAGGAGTACGACGGTCTTTTCTGGAAGTTCTGAGAGTTGGTTGTTATCGAGATTCCTGCCAGTGGTGTTATTATAGTAGTTTTGTTTCTTGGCTGCACCCTGATTATTAACTATGTTGTGCTTTCGTTGTCCTAGGGTTTAGGGTTGTATCTCCCGAGAAGCCGTGAAAAAGCAGCAGCAAGAAAGGCCATCGCCGCAAGCAGCAACGCTGAGGTCAGTAGTGTAGGTATCGGGAAGAAGTGTATATAGCCTAGCTTCATCGAGAACAGCTACCAAAGCATCCAAGATGCAACGTATCTTTGCTGCGAAGACACAAAGGTCGCTGGGTGGAATCCAGCTAGTGCAGCTCGGAAAAATGAAATCAGTCAAAAAATCAGCTCACCAACTTCCAGACAAGTAGCTCCGACGCAGCTGGCGGCGGCTCTGAGCAACGTCTGCTTGCCTGCCAGGATTCAATGCATCCGTGTAGAATCTACCTCCCTACCACCCCCTTCCCCGCACCACCCCCAGCTGCTCTGCCGCACACTAACACGAAGTCGAAGACCAAGACCAACACGAACAGTAAAACTACCACGGATACGAAGAAAACTAAAGCATGCCAATGCGAGTACGACTGCTCACGCTCATACTCTGACTCGTGCTGATGCTGATACGACTAACACTATTACCAACTATAATGATGCCAATAAACACATAATCCTAAGACATCCTGGTACCAACTCATTGCTGATTAGCACGCATCACAACCCTGAAGTGCATCTCAGACTCAGGCCTCTGAACCTCAGCGGGTGAAGGGACCTGCTTCAGCGCCGACTTCAGCGCCGCCTGGGCGACTTCCAGGCGATGAAATTTGAGCATTCGGGCTTAGGGCCTAGAGCATACAGATGCAGGGGACAAAGCTCCAAGTCTTCGAGGGTCGGTTGGCTTTTGAAGCGCTGTAACCCAACTCCACAGCAAACATTACTGCCAGGTGAACGATGCCAGAATGACATGGCAGCAAAGAGTAGTCGGGGCAGCGGCAGCATAGGAAGAAGAGGGGTGAACCTATCGTATTTCTAACCAGACACCTGACTGACATCACAACTGCAATGTGACATTCCACCCCACCTAGTGACTAGTAGTTAGTATCATTAGTATATTTGCAGATGCCGACACTACTGAGGACTATGCCAGATGTTGCTCTTCTACTTACTGCGGACATTGCAATTACTGAGAGCAACTATGCCGCTCATCTTGTTATCATGGCTGCCGTGTTTCCGCATATTAACACACATGCACGTGCATGCACGTGCATACCTGCACATGCATGCATAATTACATACATACGGAATCATACGGATGTACATACACACATGCATAAGTACATACAGACACACACACATCCGTCCATGCATGCATGCATACATTACATGCATATGCAGAGATGCACGCTTACACAACACAGACACAAACAAACCAGCAAGCAAGAAAGCAAGCAACCGACCAGCAAAAACACAAGCAAACGAACAAACAAACAAGTGCAACTGCGTGCAGCAGCCGACGGAAATATTTCATGATTGTGTCGACAGATGGCTCGTTAAGCCAAGCGCAGGTTGTCAAAAAAGGAACGAAATAGCCCCAGGACCCATTATCGGGACTGAGATGTGCGAAGTTGAAACTATAGGCCCGGGTTGGGGTTACTTGGAGGTTCATGGGTGCTTATAAGGGTTCCTTTAAGGGCCTCTTCAAAGGGATTTATAAGGATTCTATCAGGGTATAGGGTTTAGGGCCTACTAGGAGGTTCATGGGTAGTTATAAGTGGGATTATAAGTCCCCTAATAAGAGTTGTAACCAGAAGTGAGCCTACTTATAAACATAGTTACCCATGAACCTCCACGTAGGGTCAAGGGCTTAAGCCAAGAACTCTTAACTGTGGGGTTGTTTGGCTTGTCTGGAAGGTTGCAAGTTGCGGCGAGCATGTTGGGTTCGGACGGGCGTACGGCGTAGGGCGTCGTAGCTGTATGGTACGTATGTTTCCGCGCTTGTCTCTGTTTGTTACATACCCGTGGTGAGGAAAGTGTCACAGCGCATATCCGCTTCTACAGGTCTGAGACTCCAAACCGCTACTAGCATCACAAGTGCCCCTGGTATCGATCAACATCAGACGGCATCTGGACTACAATGACGGCTGTTAGAGTTATCCTCATTGTCCAAGTACCTAAAAACCATAGACTCTCCCAATTATTAACCTACATAACTACTATCTGTTACTATCTTTAACCCAAGTACCTCATTATTGGGTCTTGTTGGACCCTCATATTCGGAACTATTCTTCAGTCCAAGGGCCTTCTTAGGAGCGGCCAAGCTGGCTGGCGTGCGCAAGGCGTCTTTGACGGGAACCTTCGAGCACGTGGTGGACTCACCCCAAAGCTACAGGGGAGGTAAGGTTTAGGGTTCCCCCACCCTAAAGCTACGTTTGCCCGCGTAGCATATGCAGAACCCCGATATCGAATGCAGTTAATTTGGGTGTTTCTGTTTTCGTTGAGAGGCTCATTTGACTCAGGGGCGGCCGTGATTCCCGGCCAACAATCCTAATGTTAGACCTGAGTCCGCTTACGTGATCCTCGCGAGATACGCGCTCAAGACTCAGGTTTCTTTACTGAGTTCAATACCTAAATTAAACCGAAGCGAGGTTCAGCGACACAGGGCTGATCGGTTACGGAACATTGTGCCATCGTGTTTCCTCACATAGAATTACTGAAAACTGACCTTCTTTGGCGATGGGTGCTGGAGTTCGACGGACATATGGCTGCAGTTTCGGTGGATTCGTGCTCGTCTAGTAGGGGTATGTAGGAGTAGGCGTAGGGCGGGAGTGGAAGGTTCATAAAACGAGTTTCGTCAGCAAAGTGCCGTGTCGAAGTGTTTGTGACACTTTAATGGGCGTTTGCATTCGAGAAGCTTCGCGCTGGAAGGCTTGACGGCATGGAGGTTTGTAGATCTGAGCTGCCTGTCCCCTACTGCTGCATTGTAATGTGCGCTTTCGTGTGGAAGTCTCGATATGTGTGGAAACGGAGCAGCAACAAGCATCATTAAGCCACTTATAGATCAGAGCAGGCAAAGTGTCCAGTGTGTGGCGTAGGAGTACGAGGATAAACGTTGTGACGGGACACTATTATGGGAACCAAGAAATGACATCGCCAAGACCAAGTAGGTTGCCGCTTTGAGATCCGAGTCGCTCTTGAGGGTATCGCCAGCCCTGCGAAACAGCTGCAGCGCTGGCCCATTGCAGGAAATATCACTCAAGAAGCGGACCGAAACGTGCTGGCTCTTGTTGCCGCCCTAAACCCTAGACCCTAGACCTAAACCGAGGACATCGATCAGGCCGCTTAGCGTCTTGAATCTGGGGCGTGCGCTACCGCATGAATCGAGGAGTATCGAGGAGTCAAGACCTGGAAGGCTGAAGCGAAACCCTAAACCGGTACTTCGAAGCCAGTGCCTTCTGGCACTGCATCAATGCCCAACACCTCACAACACGACACACCTAAGACCCGAAACTCGAGTGTCTTGTGCGAGCTGCGTGCACGTTTGAACCAAAACATCAAGCACAAACTACTCCCTGGTGCTTAGTAGGGAATGGACGAATGGATCCCTATAGTAGACCCTATATAATAATCCCCAATAGTAGTCCCCATAGTCCATTCCCCCATTCCCCACTAAGAACCAGACAGACTAATTTCAAGAATCCTTGGGGCTTTAAGAAGCCCTTGCGGCTTTAAGAGTGCCTTGGGGCTTTAAGAATCCCTTGGGGCACCCCTTGGGGCTTTAGCACTCAATCAAGTGTGTCAGTCAGAGGCCTCGGGACTAATTGAAACACTTCTGGAACCTTAAAAACGGAGGGGCCCAGTACAAAATGCTTATTTTTCTGCATCCTGCTCGGGTTGGGGGGGGTTTAGGGCTTCGGGCTTCGATTATTCCTTTAGAAGACGGGGCTATGTTGGGTTGCATGCTCGCCAAAGCGGGTGGCTAGCCTTTGCAGACTTTGGGGCTGCTCGGGGGTTTAGTCTGTTGCGGCTGGGGGTCACAAAGTCTGAGTCGGGGAAGGAAAGCATCATGCACCTAGTCTCCATTGTAGTTCCCGTTGTTGGGGGGTGTTCGACTCATAGCCGACTAAGTCTTTCATCTTACGACTGCTGCTTGCCATCAGTAGTCTTATTAGTCCCCTCTTGCTGTCATTAAAAATATTATGAGCTTAGGCTTGAAAGCTCTGGGCCTTTTGGGCACAGGACTTTTGACTTGTGCCTTTATCCAACAAGACTATGGGCCAAAATGCTCGGCGTTCAGCGCCTCGCGCCGCGACTTATTACTTGGGCTGTCTGACTGCGAAGTGTCAAACTCACCATGAGCAGGATTCCCATAAACCAGAAGTTTGAGAGAGTAGGATCCTTGGGGAAGGTATCCATCCCTACATACCATTGTGGCTGAAACTACCACATCCTGAACTATGAAGCCCTACATCATTTCCTTAAAACGTATAAGCCCTAAACACTGAACACTAAATCCTCAACCCATCCCACCACACCCTAAAAAAACACCTAAACCTAAATTGAAACTCTTAAAACTAAATCCCAAGCCCACCAAAAATCCCGAGCCTCCGCCGTGGCCTTGGCTGCGACGGCCGCAGCCGATTTGGAGCTCAAAGCTCGGCCGAGCTCTTCGGCCTACTCTATTTTGCTAGGGTTTAGGTTTTTTTTGAGGGCTCTTTCCCCCTCAAAGAGGGTTTAGGGTTTAGGGTTTAGAGTAGTCTACTCTACCCTAAAGCTCCATGTGCCCATATAGTATATACTTAGGCCTTGAAGTACCTGTATGGGGACCCCTTTAAGGTCTAAGTCTAAGTATCTACTATTTATAAAGGTACATGGAGCCTTTGGGCTGGTTTGCTTTCTTACCTGTAGGCACATACCCTACCCCTTTTTTGAGGTATCCATTTTCAATATAACAGATCCTAACCATAAAACTAGGTATCCTAAAACAGGGGTAGAGTATGAGCCTCTAGGTAGTCTATATTTGCAGGGGCTTAAGTCTGTGGGGGGGTTCTTGCTTTAGGTGGAGTCTGTGCGCCTTTGTGTCTAATCCAGGAGCTCTTGATCGAGAGAATGACATGAGGTTTGGGGGTCCATTTTATGGAGACTAGAAAGTGATAGACATACTAACTATTCAGGCCTCTATAGTATCAGGACGAAATGAAGGCGTGACATGATCTTCGTGCAGCAGAGAGGCAGAAGCATGACCGAAGAAATAGAAACAAACCTGTGACTGTATGATTGGTTTATGTGATTTTTGCCGGCGTACTGTCTCTCACTACTCAATCCTCTACAACAATACATGAGCCCAAGATGATTCTCAAATCCCTCTTTTGAACCCATATGAAACCCTTGTAGAACCACCTAAGTCTGTCTAACTCCGGAGCTCCCTTCTACAACCCTTCAGAAACACTTCCAACTGACCTCATCGATCTCCCCAAAAGACCCTCTGCAACCCTCATCCCTCCGGACACTTACCCTTGGTTAGTAGGGAATGGAAGAATGGTAGTAATAGTAGATATGATTGTACCCCATTCCTCCATTCCCTACTAACCAAAGGTAAGGACAGACCAACACCTGCTCCAGGCGCTCGTCCGCACGTTGCTTGGCCGTGGACTGCAACGACCCAGAGACCCAGGTTGGTTTACCCTAGCCCTGAGGGTCCTAGGTACCGTTATGGGGGGATGCTTTTTCAAATCTTAATGGTCATTCCTGATATGGAAACCCTACATTCTACAGAATAGGTACTTTGGACCCTTTGGGTAAGGGTCCATTGGTCTTCAAGTACCTGCACAGCAACCCATGTACGGCCTAAGTGTATATTATATAGACACATGGACCCTTGACGTTTGGGTTTAGGGTCCACAGGTCGTTGGGTTTAGGGTTTAATTAGATTCTAAAAACATACACTAATGTAAGCATATGAAGTTTAAACCCCCCTACTCATAAAACCCTTGTAACACCCCCTGTAAATGCCTCCATAAGACCGCTCAGTGAGGGAGTGTGAGCTGCTTCTGCGACACGTAGCCACCCTAAACACCAAAAGGGTACTACTAGTATGACCCGATTTAATTTCTACCACGAAGCTGTTCATCAGGAGGTCCCTTACAGTCCCAGTCACCCTCATTGGTACCCTACTAGCAGCATTGATGGAATTAGGTCCCAAAAGACCGGTCTTGTTGTGGTTTTGGGGATCTAGTTCCAGAATGGTGCTCTCTCTCTCTCTCTCTCTCTCTCTCTCTCTCTGTCTATATATATATATATATATATATATATATACATATACATATGGTCCCTCTGCTACCCCCCCCCCCCCCCCATAAAAACCCGTATAGTAACCCTGATAGGACCCCTTCAAAAGGAACCCTTCGAAGGAACCCTATTCTAATTATTCAGGCCCCTACAGTAAACCCCCATTATATCCCTTATAATCCTTATAGACCCCTTTAAAGGAACCCTATTCTAATTATTCATCAAGGGACCCTTTTGGTCTGGAATTCCCTTTGGGCCTCCTCCCGCACCTCCCGGCGCAGGGAGGCCGACAAATCCCGCGCCTCCGAGGACGAGTCAGCTCTGTTGGCGAACGGGCTTTGGGGCTTAGGGTTTTTGGGGTTTAGGTTTTTGGGCTTTTGGGGTTTGGTTTAGGGAGTTTGAGGGTAGTTTGAAGTTTCTTGTGTTTTTGTTTTTCGATGTTGCAGGTTTTGGCTGGATTTAGGTTAGTACAGTGCAGGGTTCAAAGCTTTTTTCTGGGTTTGTTATACAAGGGCTGACTTGTTCTTAGAAAGACTTTCCTGCGGCTGACCCAGGGATTTCGCAAACAGGGGCAGCACAAAACCTTATAGTACAGCCAGAAGATTTGGGAGTTCCGGAAAATGGGGGATCCTAAGATAGTACCCTAAATAGTAGGGTCCTCATTTTCAGGAACCCAAAATGAGGTACACCTAAATTTATAGTAAGCCGAGGAGCATCTGCGAGCTCTGTAGCCGCCCTGTCTCGAGCCGATGCCTCGCTAGGCACATCTACACGTGCTGCGAGGCTAACAACTACCCATGGGCCCCAAAGTAGTTCCTGTTTGGGGATTACATGATAGGGTTCTATATATGAACCCCAAAATGGAACTACTTTGGGGCCTATGGGTAATGATTCTAAATCTCAGCTGCTGAAAGATTCGAGGTCCTGTGTGTACGGGCCCGCAGTCGACAGATCTTCAAGACAAATGGCGAAGCAAAGCTGGCATGTGAAACCTTGAAACTCAGGGCTTGCCGACTGTGTTGTTGAGCGCTTCCGGGGGTTTGGGGTTTATGTTAGATTTGTCGAGTGCCCGTTTCCGCACAACAGCATCCTAGCTCTCACACCAAAGATCGAGATCGACCAGGCGAGCTGTCCGCATCCGACATCAGCATGTTGTCCCCCCCTCATCCCTCTTCTCGCATAGCAGAAGCTGCTTCATCCACTGCAAGCATCAGAAACAATCAACCCTGGTGGTTCCGAGCTGGACCCTATAGTCGCCTAGACCTAAGAGTAGCCCAGGATTAAAAGGGTGCCTTTTTTGGTTTAAAGGGGCTCATGAGGGAACCTGAACCCTAAAAAAATGGAATAAGGGCCTACCCCAGGTCCGAGTCGCTATAGTCATGCGTCTGTGCAGCAGTGGACCCTGGAAGGGGCTCCAACCCACCCGTCACGTCCACAAACTGCGTCTCTCCCAACTCCAGGATGCAGGACCCATACCTCCGCTACACCTCGTCATTAGAGAGCTCGCCGAAGCACCACGCATCGTACACCACGTAGTCGCTACTCCTCCATTCTTATGCGCGCCAATGCAACCTCGCGAGTGTCCTCCACTACACTCTGCGCGCGTGCTCCCTCATGATCTCATGCATCGTCGGAGGTGAGCTTGATGCAGTGCAGGCTGGTCCACCACTCTCTGCCGCCCTCGTTCCCTCGAGATGTCGAACCCCAACCCTGTAGCATCTCTTGTCGGCAAGCCCGGCGCAGGGAGCGTGTACGTCTAGGATACCCAGTAACCTAAGAATAAAAAGGCCTCTCTTTTTGGTAACCGGTAACTTTATAAGGAACCTGGGACTACAAAAAGGGAATAAGGGTACTACTGGGCATCCTAGACGTGCTTCAGAGGTCAGGTCCGATGCTTCGGCGACCGAACGAGGAAGCTGAGGAGGCGGCGGTAAGCCTAAAGCCGTAAAGCTCTGTCTATTTCCGTAAGTCATAGGCCCTAAAGCCATATTGATTGAAAGTTTAATTGAACATGAATTAACGATCCGGATAATGGTAATATTGGATTTTCATTATTGATTGCAATATTATTTCCATTAATATATAATATACCCTACAGCCGCAAAGCCCGAAACCACAGGCTTGAAGCCATGGTGCAGCTTCCACCAACTTCGCCTCCAGCTTGTCGTCTTCCACGCACCTCCAAGCGTACTCGGGGTAGAGGGTTTTAGGGCATTTGGGGTTTAGGATGGTGTAGGGCATTAGGAGTCTAGGGCTTCCGGGGTTTTAGGTTGAAGGTGGGAATTTGAAGGATCCTGGGCTTCAGCAAATAGTTTACGGAGGACCCCGTTCTTCACTTTACCTCACCTACAAACTACTTACCAAGTCCGCTGATCCTTCAGGTATTCAGAGGCTTTTGGGCAAGAGGTCAACTTCAAACAGCTTCGAGTATGGAACCCTTACATAGCGGTCTTAATCGTCAGAATCAGGTTACATTTTCAAGACCACAGTCCCTTGCCTACTCAAACAGAAAACGGGAAACCGTTCGCACTTGGGCGGCTTAACATTGGCGGTTTCTGGCTTGCATGAAAACTATTGATTTGGCACACCTGAATGTACATATTGAGCGGCAGCATTGGAAAACTTGTTCTACCAAATAAACTTGTAGCCGGATTTGTGCAAGATTTCTGTGAAGAGTTCTGTCAGGGCTCTAGAATGGTTTAAGGATTCGATGTCCTAACATTAACACAGAGTGCTTGTCGTGTAAGTGTAAAGTACAAGGGACACTAAGCCCTATGGGGCTCTCTATAGGAACCCGAAAACCTGTACAAAGCCAGATAGCCCAAGCCACGAACACCTTAACTTGTTCACCGAGCAGAACTGAACAGTATTCGAGGGCAAGGGCTTCTCTTTGAGGCTTCCGGGATTCTGATTTAGGATCTTAGGGCTTATGATCTAACAACACAGGATACGAACAAGATCATCAACTATTGCCAAGCTGTGAGCCTAAATTGCAACCCTTGAACACTGACCCCCTCAAGAAGATCGTCTAAAACCTGCAGACAGTTCGGGTCCCACATAGCTGCTAGGATTTTCGGATCTCAATCTTGAACCTGACAGACTTCACCCTAAATAAGTACTATACCGACCCCGATGCTTCCAAGGACCTTACTGAACCCCTTAAGGAGCCCCCCAAAAAAAGTCCCTGGTACTATACTGACTATATCCGGACGAATCTAGCTTTCTGAGTAGCCTCTTAACAATACGGGCACCCGTCTTTCCTAATCTACTGTTTATTACAAACGAAAAAGGGCACAAGGGTACTACTCAGGAGCCTAGAAATGCTGCAGCAAACCCGCACTGAGAAGGTGCCTTTCGACGGCTGCTGCTGTGGCGATTTTCGCCTCAGCCAGCGTCAGTCGACTGTCCGCAGATTCCCTGGCTGTCTGGCAGTGCGTGTTTCATGGCTTAGGGTTTATGGTTTACCCATACGCTCCAGAATAGTTCCTGTTTGGGAATACCTTATAGGATCGTAAATATGAACCCCACAAGGAACTATTATGGAGCCTATGGGTAGGTTTAGACATGGAGACTTAAGAAAAAGGGAACCAAAGGCTCAAACAATTAGCTAGCTCGTTCGACAGGACTCAGTCAGCTGCCACTTCTAAGCATATGAGCATTGGGAGTCAGCATTCCTGGCCAACGAGTTTGAGGTCCCGAGTTCCGGGACGTAGAGACTGAATGATGTATACAGTGATCTGAAGGTCTTGTCGCTCTGGTGTTTCTAGCTAAGTTTCGCTTCAAGGAGTAATGTGCACACGGCTTTTCTTGACGAGGGGGTTGGGCTTTGGGGCTGAAAGCAACAACCTTCATAACGAAAGACTCGACAACTTCTTGAAACCTTGGCCAGCACCCCCGAACTCTGAAGGGCTCACCGCAGCTTCATGGCTGAATATTGTGGACTAAGGTACAATATATTGTTGTACGGCAATTCGACAAGGACTGCACCCCACCCGCCGCATGAGTATACCACATACTTTCACAGCTACATAATACTATATACCATCACAGCGAAAATGAATAGGGACATGATTGTCAACTGCCTAAAACTCTTAAACCCTTAATTAACCCGGAACCCTAAACCCCCAACCTCCTATTAGAACCCTAAACTCCACTCCCCCCGAGGCCTCGCAGCAACAGCGCTCTGGAGCTGCGCTGCCAGCGCCGCTTCCTGGCGCTCGGCAAAGGCCAGCCTCCGCCTCTGCAAACTTCCGATTCCATGCGGGGGCCTTAATAACTGGGGTTTAGGGCTTTAGGGGCCTTAATATTTGGAATAGGGTTCTTGTAAAGGGTCCTTTAAACGGTTCCATAAGGTATCTATAATTGGGTTCTAGGGGCCTTGTTAATTACAACAGGGTGCTGGGCTCCTCTCCAGACTTATAGATGAGGAAGCCGAAGGAAATAATGTTGGCAACCACTTCGGCCTCTTAATATTACTATGGTGTGAAAGCAAGTAAGCATGTGGTACGCTAGACTAGAACACGTCAGTCCCTGAAACAATACACTGACCCTCATAGCCCTGCCCATAGGCCCCAAAGTGGTTCCTTTTGGGGATTACATGATAGGATTCTATATGTGAACCCCAAAAAGGAACTGCTTTGGGCCTGTGGGTGTAAACCGGCCCCCTCAACCCTCAACCCCAGACCCTAAACCCTGAACCCCAAACCCTAAACCCCAAACTCTAAACTCGAAAACCCACCCAAACCCTAAACCCAAACCCGAAACCCTAAATCCCAAACCATTTCCCCGAGAGCCTAAACCCGAAAGGCGCACCGAAGCACAAACCCCAAGCCAAAAAAGGCTGAACTTTCAACCTGAAATCCTACCCCCCCTCCAAAAAACAAAAGTATGCAAAACACTCGCCACATACCTCTCAAAGTGTTTACGGTTTAGGGTTTAGAGGTCTGAAGGGCTATGATTCTACATTGATGGGTTTAAGATTCTTGGGGTGGGGAATCCTTAATATGAACCCTATTATGGGAACCCTATTCCCTACTAAACCCCCATAGGCTAAAACCCCTTTTGCCTCCTATGATACATATTTTTGGGATACGGGAGTTTCCGAAAATTAGGGGTACCCTATTTTGGGTCCTTACAATAAGGATCCTACTATTTAGGGTACTATATTGGGGTCCCCTATTTTCGGAAACTCCCATACAGGTCAGCCCTAAAACTGCACCATTGGGGACGGTGCTCGGCATCAGCGGCCGCTGCTGCGAGCGCCTGGCGGCCAGGTTTTGGCAAGGCTTAGGGGATTTAGACAGGGTTTAGGGGTTTAGGGGATTTGGGGTTTAGGGTTTGGGGTTTAAGTTTAGGGGTTTGGGATTTCGGTTTAGAGGTTTTAGGGTCTAGGGTTGAGGGGATTTGCGGTTTGCTTGGGTTTCAGTGGCTTTTCAATGGGTTTCTCAGGGTTTAACGCCAGGACTTGAAAACAGGAAGAGTGTTTTGGTACGTTTTGGGCTGTCGTACAGCATACGTATATCGTGAATATATACCAGAGACCCCTGCCACTTCTCTGAGGTGTGCGGATCCTTTAGCCTCAGGGTCTGACTGCGATTTATTGCACTCAGGCAGTTATCCACGAAGTAGCTCTCTATGAACTACTGCAGAGAGCCTGCATGTCACACAACATGCACACTTGGAGGGTCGGGGGACTTAGTAACTGGTTATTTTAGGGACTTATAAGTACCATAACCCCAATTAGGGTCCCTTTCAGGGTACTTATAAGTCTACTTACTACCTACCTACTAAGTCCCCCGACCCTCCAAGCAGGAGGAAAAGGGACAGGCGATGGCGTGGAATGATTGCCTTTGCCTGGGACCGAAAACGAAGTGGTCTGCATGCAGAAGCTGTATGCCGAAATCCTCTCTCATCTAGAGAGGTCTCGATCGTAGCCTCTTTTTAAGTCTCCTAATAGCACTATTCCCCTAAAGCCTTGTAGACTCTAAAAACGTTGTACGGCCCCTACTTGGAACCTTTGTAACCCTTAACACAAATCGCTTGAACCCGCATGAAACTCTATGAACCCTTATAAAACCCCTACTACACAAAGCATACAGTAAACCCCCTAAAGTTGGAAACCGGATTAAGGCCAAATAGTGCTGGGATTCCCTCAGTACTCTTAAGGATTGAGGCTATTGGGTTTCCAACTTTTGGGCTTCTACTGTACCTCCGCGAGACCATGGATTTGACTGGAGCCTCGTCGTGTCGGCTGCGCTCTGCCGCTGCCAGCGACTTAACCTTTTGAAGGCTTTCTTTTAGCCATTCGGTTTAGGCGAGGTTGAGGGGGTTTAGAGAGCATTTGATCCAAGATTTTGGGATTCCACTTCTTAAGTTTAGGAGGTTTCTTCCAGGGTTCTGTGAGAGTCCTGCAGGCGTTTAGGGTTTTAGGGTAATTGTAGTTGTGCAGGCCTTGCCTATACGGCGGTGCTCCTCTAAGAACATGGCGGGGTGAGTAGTTGGGTGTATAGTGCTCTGAATGATGAAACAGAAAAGGAAGAAAACGAGTAACCGTACCTTCCATTCAATGCCATTCCAAGCGACACGCTCCAGCTCCTTGGACACGTCGGCAAGTCTGTCAAATGCCTCCTTGGCTTCAACAACCCTAAACCCTAAACTGCAACATGAGTCTTGGGCATTGAAGGTGTAGGAGTTCCGGGACCTGGACATAGGGCCCCAAAAAAGCACACAAGCAAAAATCTGGACAGTGATATCCCATATAACCCCCCTTATGATGAAGCCAGGGATATCCTCATAAAATGCTTATTCTTATGTGCTTTTTGGTTCCCTAAGGACAAGCATGCTTGGGTTGGGATTAAGCGGGGCCGGAATGTTGTGAACAGGTTGTCCGGCAGTCCCAATTGGGTTTAAGGCTTAGGGTTTAGGCTAACGGTTTAGGGGTTAGGGGTTAGGGTTTTGGGTTTTGGGTTTAGGTAAACCGTTAAGTTTGTGGAAGGGTTCACATCGCAACCCTGTTACCGGTTCCTCGTAGGGAGCGGCGAGTGGAGCCCTGGGATAGTTCCAATGATAATTCCCCTAAAGTCCTTATAGTACAGGATTATACCTTAAAGGGGTTACGATAATCATATTCCAACTTTCTGGCTTCTACTGTAGTCTCCAGCAGCCATCCCCTGCTGAGAAAAAGAGAGTCTTTGACGGTTTAGGGCTTAGGGGGTTTAGGATTTGGAGTTTAGGGTTGAGGGTAGAGTCTTTGGCGCACCGAAGACTAAAGAACAGCTGGTGGGTTGACTTCGTGGCTGAGTTCAGAAGCCCCCAAAAGTATAAACTTTTCCGTTCTACAAGGGATAATACTACCCAAAAATGTGCAATCATTCAGCTAAGACCATACCTTTAGTCTGTATCGTAGTTATAGTATAGGGAGCCTGACCAAAAAATGTTTAAGCAAGTTAAGATACAGCTATTTCCGAGCCAGGAGCGCAAGCAAACACGTGAAGGCAACCCAAGCCCAAAGTCAACAAAACACAAACCTCACAACCTAAACCCAATAAACCAAAACCCGAAGCAGTAAATCCTAAATCCTAAACCACAGACCCTAAACGACAAACCCTAAACCCTAAACCAAACCCCAAGCCCTGACTAGAAACCGCTAAGCCCCTCAGCCCCCAGCGACAGCGCGCCACTCCTGCTTTGCCGCTGCCTCCACATCGGCCCTCGACCTCTCTGAGAATACAGTAGAAGCCAAAAAGTTGGAAACCCTATAGCCCCAATCCCTAACAGTAAAGTATAGGGAATCCCAGCACTGTTTGTCCTTAATTAGGTTTCCAACTTTTTGGAGCTTGCTGTAGGCCTTTAAACGGCGTAGGGTTTAGGGTTGGGGGTTTGGATTTAGCTTCAGGATTTGGGATTAGCGGCGTTTAGCGTTTTGCATGTAGTTGTTTATAGGCTGTTTATTATATGGTCTACATAGAATTTGATTGGGGTTTATGTATGGCTTTGGAAGGCTTGCCTGTGGGGTTTCTTCAAGGCGTGTTTCTGAAACTGAAGGTTCAGAGTTCGAGAAATACTATTATGATTTGGGAAGCTATTCCCGTAACACTACCTCGTAGCTTCTGGACAAACAACCTACCTTCCGTAAACCCTAAACCCTAAACCCTAAACCCTAAACCCTTCCGTAAACCCTAAGCCCGGAACTCTCAACCGGCCCTACTGTGGCCATGGAGGTTGGTTTTCTTTGTCCATGAAGTGGGACGGGGTTAGGGTATGGGGTTGAGATCCTTACTTGCCAAATACCCATGGGTTGACAACTTCCAACTTTCTCAATAATAAGACTACCCTTTAAGAGCCCCAGGTGTTGAAAAGTTGTGTTTGAACCAACAAAAAGTTTAGGGCTTGCGGTTTAGTGTCTTGGAGGTTCGGGGTTTGGGGTGTGGGGTTTCGGCTTTAGGGAAGTTTAGGCTTTAGAGATAGAAGGTGGAAAGGAGAACATCAGGCCCCCAAGGGGCGTGTGAAGATCCTGCAACAACAAAGGGCGGTTTAGGGTTCAGGTTTTCGGGATCCTTGGCATGATCTGATGCCATGCGGTGCAGCGCTGGCAAGAGGTAGCGCGATCTTGACTCTTGACACTCCCGTCTGAGACAAGGCAAACTGCTTTCTTGATGTGTATCGACTCCAATTCTGCCGATGCTGCTGCGTAGAACTCTGCTTCTGCTGAGCTGAGGCGTACAGTGCTGCTGGGGTGCTGACCCTAATGTCCAAGTACCCAAATTGTGCACAAATAGTAGGGGTTTCAAGGTCCAAAAACCATTCAGACTATGGATTTGGGGAGCTAAAACCCGACTATTTGGGTACTTGGAGCCTCTGGGTGATCGAAATGGGAGGTCACGAAAGATGTGCGCAACATGCAGATGAAGCATGTGCTAACCCATAGGCCCCAAAGTTTTTCCCTTTGGGGCTCATATAAAGAATCCGATCAGGTAATGCCAAAAAGGAACTACTTTGGGGCCTATGGGCAAACTCGGAACCCTAAGTTCAAACTCAAAACCTGGTTTGAGTAAAGCTCTGGATATTCAAGGCACCCCCAAGCCCTAAAACCCCAAACAAAAAACCTCTGAACCCCTAAAGCTCTAACCATCCAAACCCTAAACCCTAAACCCTGAAGCCCTAAAGCCCCAAACCCTAAACCCCTAAACCCCCAAAACCTAAACCTTATCTAGATCCCTTATGGATCCCTTTAAAGGAACCCCCGTAGATCCCTTTAAGGACCCCTAAACCCCCCAAAACCTAAAGCCATAAACCCGGAAGCCTGCAACCTGAACTCTTCGGGCCCTGGGTCCTTTTGCGAGCTTCTGAAACTCATACGGTTGATGATATAAATCCTAGGGTTCCTGTAAAGGGATCTATAAGGTTTCCTTAAATGAGGGCTATAAGGGATCTGTAGGGGTTTAGGGTTTAGGGTTGATGATATAAATCCTGCATTACCCATAATAAGGAATATACCATAATTCCCAGAGACTCCCTATTATGGGTAATGCAGGATTTATATCATCAACCGTAACCAAAACAGCCGCAAAGCCCTGAATCCCAAAAGCCTACACCCCCCAAAACCTGCAGCCCTGAAGTCGTGTTAAACTCCAGCCTTAAAGCCCAATAACCCCACAGCCTCGAAGTCCTAAAATCCCAAGGTCCTAAAACCCTACAGCCCAACACCGCCTGCGAAGCTCAAAAAACCGAGGGCCAAGTAGGGCTTAAAAGTTTAGCGATTTAGGGTTCACTGTTTATGGCAGACCCTAAACCCTGAACCCCAAACCCTAAACCCTAAGCTCCAAACCCCTCAAACCCTACACTCTAAACCTCAAACCCTGAACCCCAAGCTCCCCAAACCCTACAAACCCTAATCCCTTGGCCCAAACCCTAAACCCAAAACCCTAACCCCCAAACACCTAAACCCGAAACCCCCCCTATAAAACTCCAAACACTATAAGGCGAAAAGTTGAGGATCCTTTAAAGGAATCCCAGTGCCCTTTGAAGGAGCCCTAAGCCCTAAACCCAAAGTCACAGTTTGGGGTTTGAGGGTTTAGGGTTTAGGGCGAAAAGCTGAGGGCGAAGCTGGGCCAAGGCTTCTGTGGCCTCCGCGATCTCTGCAGCGGCCGACGAGCCCTCCTGCGTCGCGCATGCGGTCTTTAGGAGGAAATGGGGGCTTTGGGGTTTTAGAGGCAAGGATTTTTTTAAATGCGTGATGACCAGGGTCTGCGACCTAGGTCTGCCTCTACAGGTACACGCAGGTGAGACTAACCATCAAACTACAGGATTTAGGGTTTAGGGTTTTAGGGTGTGTGTATATATATATATATATACATACCTATATATATATATATATATACAGGTATAGGTATATAAAGGTGTATATATATATATATATATATATATATATATATATATATATATATAGGGTTTCGGGTTTGTTTTTGGGGTTCTGGCTCTAGGGTTTAGGGATTTAGGGGTTAGGTTGCAGGGTTAAGGGGGCTTCGCTTCAAGGTTCAGGGTTCAGGCTGCAGGGCCTTTGACTTTGGGTTTAGACGATGACAAGGGCTCTAGGGTTGAAACTATGGGTCCCTGGCATGGCCCTTAACCCCGGGACCTTTATATACCTACTACAGACCTTCTATGTGCCCATTCTCAGGTCTCTAGAAGTCCCTTCAAAGGCCTAAGGGTCCATGCTAGGGGCCCATACTTCTACCCTAAACAACGGGGCGCACTTGCAACACCAACCCGGCTATCTGAAGACGAAGCCGTAGCCCGAAGCAGGGCTTGGGGGTTAGGGTTTCGGGGTTTAGGGTTTACGGCTTAGGGTTTACGGCTTAGGGTTTAGGGGTTAGGGTTTAGGGTTTAGGGTTTAGCGTTCAGGGTTCAGGGTTCAGGGTTTAAGAGGCCCCACAAACAGTGACTGAAACCTAACCTTAACCCTGAGTAACCTACCCTGTTTCGAGGACTTAGATAAGGAACTCATAATAAGGAGCCATAAAAAGGTAAGTTCTTCGGGGATATTATCCCCGAAGAACTTACCTTTTTATGGCTCCTTATCATAAGGAGAAGGGCTTCAAAACGGAAACCAAAAAGCCTCTAACCCGTAGTTGTCAACCCTCGACCCCAAACCCTAAACGTTTTCCCCGCTCGGCTCGGTCCTGCGTTGGCTTCGGCTGAGCTTGATGTGCAGTGACCTTCTACCCATAGGCCCCACAAAGTTCCTATTTTTTGGGGGGTTCATATATAGAATCCTATCAGGTAATCCCCCCAAAAAACTACTTTGCGGCCTATGGGTAGGAAACCAGGTTAGGATTCGGGGTGTGCAGCTTTAGGATGTGCTATCGATCTGGAGTTCAGGAACTTGCCTACTTCTTGAAGGGGTGATGGTTTGGGATGTAGATGGGTAGTTGTCAAAATTAGGGTCCCCTTTTGAGTCCTTATTATAATGCGGCACCTAATATTTAGGGTACCCAAAAAGGGACCATAATTTTGTCAACCACCCATATACAGGGTTTGGGTTTAGGATGCACGGCTTGCAGTCTTCAACAAAGCTTGCTAGACTCTGCTAGATGCACTCCAGAATTAATGCGTTTGTCGGATTGTGAAGGGATCCTAGATTTCCATTCGGGATCGATGCGTGGTAACTTCAGGGGTAGCAGCTTCAACACTGGCGGAAAAGCAATTGCTGCGGTGTGATTTGGGGGTTACGTTTTGTTTCCGTCTGTTTGCAAGGCCCTCGGATCGAAGGTGAGTAGCCGTTTCCGCTTGTCATGCAGAAGGCCTGCCAGTATGCCATACAGCAACCTCGCGATCGGTCTCCTCCGCACTCAGCTCTGACCTCACAACTGGTGCACAGTGCCACGAGGATCCACGATGTCGCTTCATCGTGTCAGGGTTGTGGCCATGACAGTACTTACCTTTGGTGAGTAGGGAATGGAAGAATGGTAGTAATAGTAAGTATAAGTGTACCCCATTCCTCCATTCCTACTAACCAAAGGTAAGCTTGAATGCCTCACGCGCTTTCAACACCTTGGCCCCATCACGGCCCTCGATGCCTTGCTCGCGCGGTGCTGCCGAGTTGGCAAGAAGCATCGTCAAATTCTCAAGAACCTGCATTACTTGGAGGTTCATGGTTAGTTATACACTAAGTGGAGTTATAAGTAGGGCAACTAGAGTTATAAGCCCGATTCATGGACTTATAACCGCACTTATTCCTACCCATGAACCTCCAAGTAGGCGCTGCTCAGTAGTGGCACCTCCACCACCTGCTTCCGACACGGCAGAGAACGGGTTCGCTCCTGCAGCTGTTGGCCGCCTGTCTCTTTCCCATGATAAGACCCCGGAGTTCCTTCGATATGGGAGTTTCCGAAAATTAGGGGTACCTTATTTGGGGTCCTTATAATAGGGGTCCTACTGTTCAATATACCATATTAGGGTCCCCATAGCTAGGTTGGTTCTCGTCGAGGCATTCCGCCATGTTCTTCGCCATCGGCATGAAGAACTCAACACTTAGCCGCTTTTTTAGCTCAAGCCGCCTGCGATGGATGAGAACAAGGACATCTCGCCACGAGACGTCGGTAGAATCTAAAACCCTGAACCCTAAACCTCTAAACCCTAAACCTCTAAACCCTAAACCTCTAAACCCTAAACAATCTAAACAAGCCGGGTACTTCTCAAAGCACCCTCAAGATCATCTTGCTTTCATTCACAAAATGGGAGCACACGGCATACCGGCTTGTAGTTAAACTAAAATGAACACGAAACACTGGGATCCCAAATGTAAGGGCCCGGAAGTAAGGGACCTTCAGAAATGCCCCAAAAGCCCTTGACAAAAAAACACCCTTAAACCCCATCCAAAAACATCTTTATTCCACTGTATCTGAACCCCTTTCAGAACCTGAGAAAGCCATAAACCCTAGATTCCCAAAATCCTAAACTCCTGAACCCATAAACCCTAAACTCCTGAAACCCTAAACCCTAAACTCCTGAAGCCCTAGACCCTAAACTCCTGAAGCCCTAGACCCTAAACCCGAAGCCCGGGACTTCCTAACTCCTGGGGCCCTAGGCCCGAAACTCAAAACCCTCAACACTAAACTCTAGACCCCTAAACTCCCAAACCATTAAAAACCCAAGCCCTAATCTTTAAACTCCTAAGCCCCTAAAATCGTAACATCCTAAACCGCTAAAGCTTAAAGCCTGTAGATCCCTTTAAAGGAATCCGAAGCCCTCCGGAGATCCTAAAACTCCGAAAATCCCTAAACCTTAAACCCTAATCCCTAAGCCCTAAACCGTAAACCCTAAACCCCTAAAATCCCTAAACCCGAAAACTCCAAACGATACATCCTTTTGCCTCGCTAGTCATGGCTGCGAGCTCCAGCCGCGTCTCCTCAAGCTGCGCCTCGAGCATCGAGTCCTTCGGCTTCTAGGGTTTGGGGGATTTGGGGATTATAGAGGGGTTTGGGGTGGGTTCCTTTTAAAGAGTTCCTTATAAAGGGTCTATAGGGATAACGATAAGGGTAGTATAGGGGTTTAATAGAGGGTACACAGAGATCCCAATACCCCTTAATTAAGGAATATACCGTAAATCATACCATTAAGGCCTCTATTTAAGGCATATTCCTGAATTAAGGGGTACTGGGTTCTTTGGGTAGGGTTTGGGCGATTTGGGGATTCCATAGGGGTTTAGGGTGTTGGGATTTTCATGTTAAGTGTAAGGCTTAGGGATTAAGGGTTTTAGGGTTTTGGGGTTTTAAACCCTAAACTGTATAGGGTTTGGGGGCTTTGGAGTTACGTTTGGGGCTTTGGGTTGAGGGTTTAGGGTTTAGGGTTGAGGGTTTAGGGTATTGGGGATTTAGGGTTTTCCCTAATGGGGCCCTTATGGCCCTAGAGTGGGTATTTTGGGGTATCTTAGAGGGTAGTTCGGGGGGTCAAGGTAGGGTTGAGGGTTTAGCGGCTTGGGGTTTAGAGTTCCCAGAGAGCCCAATACCCCTTAATTAAGGAATATAGCTTAAATCATAATATGAAGCCCTATGTAATTTAAGCCATATATTCCTTAATAAAGGGGTATTGGGCTCTCTGGGTTCTTGGGCTGCTTTGAAAGTACGAGGTTTATGGGATCAGGTCTTGAAGGCTTTTAAGGGCTCTCGGGAGTTGGGCCTTATAAGCCTCTGGGACTTCCGCACTGTCTTACTTCAAAGGCTGCAGGGCTTCAGGCTTCCGACTTTGGGTGTCCGACGTTTTTTCGGGTGTTGATAATTAGAATAGGTTTAAAGCCGTACATGGTTCTTGTAAGAAAGCTATATTACCATAACAGTGATGTATAGGAACTAATGCTAACAGGTTTCCTTATCGCTACCATGGACCATAATAGCGGTCGATGGATAATGAGAAGGTGTCCTTATCTGGTAACTTTATCTTACTTGGAGTTCATGGGCAATTACAAGTGGTGTTAGAAGTAGGGTAACTATGGTCATAACCCCAATTCGGGGACTTATAACCCCATGCAAAACAACCCATGAACCTCCAAGTAAGTTCCTTGAGAGCCCAGTTGAGGGCCGTGGCGCTTTAGGGTTGAGGTCTTTAATATGGGGGCCTTAATAATTAGAATAGGGTTCCGGGGTATATTCTACTATAATTTTATTTATAATAAGAAAATAAGGAACCCCAAAACAGCATAGGTAATTACTAAGGCCCGTATAGTATAATAGAAGCATACAAGTAAAACTGCATTACTCAGATACAAGTTGTAAGAACCATACCAGACACACACACACACACACACATGCACGCACAAAACAACCGCACAACTGATCACCGCAGCCACACTCGAAACACAAAGTCTTCAAGCCGCAACCTAAGCTGACACAGACCAAAGCGAACAAAAAATGTGCTTCCAAGGGTCTTCGTAAACACTGAACCCCCGAAACACTTAAACACTGAAAACCTACCTCCACCCTAAACCACAAAATACACTAAACCGACTGCATCGCCTTCTCCGTCGAAGCAGCACGTCCCAGCACCTCGCCCTCAAGGATGCGAGGGTTTATCTCTTGTCTGCTAGTTTTGCTGTAAGGTCCAGGGTTCCAGGGTTTGCTATTATACTCTAACTTTATTTATAGTAAGATAAGAAGGAACCTCCGAAATAGTATAGGTAAGTACTAAGGCCCGTATAGTATGTACACATGGGTAGTTGTCAACATCAGGGTCTGGGCTTTGGTCGGGCTCAAGGTTTCGGGCTTTGGTGTTTGGTGCTTTTGGGCTTTAGGGTGTGCAAAGGCGTACAGAGACGGGGGTCAGGGGTGTAGCGAAGGTGTGCGGAAGGTGGGTAGGGGATGGACTTTGAGTGTCTTTCGGCATGGGCGGGTGAGGTTTGGAATTCAAAGGTTACTGTAGCTGTTGGTTTTGAGCTGGTTTCGTTCATGATTGTGGCGAGCAAAAGTGGCACTCTGGCGGTGTGACGGGCTTACTGTCTTCTACTGTTCTCATCTGTACTTGAAACTGTCGCAGACTCCGACCACCTGCGTTCGCATGAAGACGGAAGAGGAAGGAACGTCAGCAGAAAATGAGATGTGTCCATATTCTTGTCCGACACTCAGGGTACAGCATGTTTGCAATTCGCAGTACATCCCGGTCAAGCAGGATCACATGCTGTGTCGTGCTGCTGTTAGGTTTTACATATGATAGCCCTACTATGATGCCGAGGCCTTGATGGCCAAAATAATCTGTCGACGGAAACGACCAGTGACACGAGCATGACGACGATGGTGATGACGGCGATGGAAATCGTAAAGCCGAAGACCATTATTCAGATGACAATGACGAAAACACGGAGCGTGGTGGACAATGATGATGATGATGACGCTGATGTTGACGATTGTGATGACGATGGTGATAACATGCTGATAGTTTAAAGCAGTATAACAATGAACTGTCATCTGCATAGGCGAAAGGTTCATCCACAGAGGCTTCGCTTGGAGCGAAAGCCTAACGACGCCATTCCGCAGACACAGCTTGAGACCATGATCTGCGCCTCGTGTCGATATTCGGTTGGCCCTAAGGGTCCATGTACTCCCTATATAGATACATTGGGCCTAAAGTATCTACTATTTGGGTACATGGACCCTTGGGGTAAGAAAAGAAGCCACATCGGATCGGATCGGTCCCAAGAACTGGGCGCCCTGTCCAGAATCCACGTCCTGAGCAGGCCTCGTCTTCATTCCAGGCGCAAGACTCCGGGTTTACGTCCACCTCCGCTGCTGCCTGACCCTGGCTGTTGAGTACGAAATCCTGCGGGGGGGGTAGAGCTGTCTCTACTCAGCCACTTGATTCGTTCAGCAGCAACCCCGCGAGCCACCATGGACCAAAAAAGGGCCCAACGACTGCCGTGAGCCACCGTTTTTGTCTGCAAACTCTCTTGGGACGTGCTCATAGTCGATTACACCCTCGACATCCTGCGTGGTTTGCCGTTACCCCAAGTCAGAGGGGCGGTACGAAGCTCTAAGATCATCGCCCATTCGGCTGCCACCGACTGGATGGTGACGGCGATGGTAAGGGTGATGATGATGATGTTGTTGATGTTGGCGATGATTATGGTGGTGGGGATGGTCATGACCCCGTGCGTGCTAATGCTCATGGTGACGATGGCCATCCTCAGCAATGCAATTAAAAACACATGCCCCCTAAATCCTAAACTGTAAGCCGTGTATGCTGTTCTGTTATACTTTGACTTCCCTTTGTGCGGGATCCAACGCCGAGCCAAGCTCTGGGCCCAAGTGTCCGGTGCCTTGCATTGCACGACTCCCAGACCGGCCACAGAATGTCCGGTCAAGTCTAAGCTTATGTATCATATATGTATGTATATATATATATATATATATATATGCACACACATAATAATCGAAACCAGCTCCTTCACGATTCACCTTCAAAAAACGAACACGCTAAACCTAAGCCGGAAACCGTAGAACCCTAAACCTTCAACTCTGAACCCTAAAACCCCAAAACACCTGACCTAAAGCATGTTCTGCGACGGCCTCTGCTCGCTCCAAAGCATCACCCAGGGCGGTGGCCTCTCAGCCAAGTCTGCTAGGAAGGAACACATTGGGTACGGCCCACCCTGTCACATTAGGAGCGGCTATTACTAGTTACATTGTAACAACAATCTGACCGTTAGACAGTGGGGGCTGTACCCAAAACATATCGTTGAAGATGCTGGGAGTGTATATATATATATATACAGGTATGTATATATATATGTATATATATATATACATATATATATATATATACACATTTAATTTGTTTATACAGTTGATGTCAAGCCAGCAGCCCTGACGTGAAAGCGATCCTGCGCATTCGGAGCCAGAGCCCCTGAGAATGAACTCTACACCCTACAACTTGCCCGCTGCCACGGCCTATACGAGGAGTTTAGGTTCAATGTAGCGGCCAAGGTACGGTGGAGGTCTAGTAGCACTGAAACAGTCTCATGCAGTCAAGCTATATACGCATGAAACCACACACGCAGATGAAGATCATGCAGTCAAGATTGGAATTTTCACGACTCGGCCCAATCTTGCAACCGAACAACTAGCAGGAGACCGGTGCTGTCCGGCCTGTACAGCTAAAGAGGAACACGTGGCCAATGAAACCGAGAACAGGGCAAACCGGAATCGACTCATTCGTAGATCTTGTGGTTTCGGAAGTTACGACCATCGAAGAACTGTTTGGCAACTCTGCTACACCAACGCTTGTGCTTCGAACTTACGGCAGGCGCGTGAACCTGTAGCCGTACAAGTAGCTGGTGAAACATGCGATCGTCCAGACAAGTACGTATCAAACAGCTCTCGCACGTTCCAAAGCACAACAAAAACCGTACATGCCTGCATGCAGGCTGCTCAAAACGGAGACTGGTCAACATTCTGATCCGATGCACGACCCCTACGTGCTGCACATAGAAACGACCCCGGAAACAGACCGTCTTTTGTGCACCCTGAAGCCTAGACACAAGAGCGCGCATAAGTGCCGACCAGAATCGACAAAGACCCAACATCTACAATCTGCAGAAACCTCCGAACCCTCTTCACCAAATCTTCAAAGGGCTCGGCTTCGGCGAACGGTTTTAGCAAGCCCCCACACCCTCAAGTACTTTCCACCAGGCAGAGCCTCCTGCTGTGACACCCGAAGGGAGGCTGACTCCTCCGCTACCATTCCTTGCTGTAGGGTTTAGGGTTTAGGGTTTGGGGTTTGGGGTTTAGGGCAAACTTTACGGGGGGAATTCAGCTCATCATTGGGGCTTTAGGGTTTAGGGTTTGAAGTCATAGGCTTGAGTTGTGTTTTTAACTATGGTGACGCCCCCTTTCTCCGACCGCGCCGGCTCGCTTGGAAGTCTGGGGTTTCGGGTTTCGGGAGTGGGATATGTTTACACATGCATACACTCATACATACATGCATGCATGCATGCATGCAGGCACCCTTGCACCTGCATGTGTGCGTGCGTGCATGCATACACACATACATACATACATATATATATATATATACGTGACTTTAATCCTTTCTCACTGCAGCCACCCGCAGTTTTGCCGGCAAGCCGTGCGTGCCTGCCTGTGTGGCTGCTTGGCTGCGTGGCTGCGTGCTTGCTTGCTAGCTTGCTTGATTGCCTGCTTGTTTGCATGGTCCAGTGGTCGCTTGCCTTGCTTGCTAAGCTTAAACTTGCCTGCTCAGGCAACCCCGGAGACGGAAAAACACACAAAGTCGCTTCGATCGAAAAGACGCTGCTAATACCACCATCCCTTGAACCCGTAGCACCCTAAATCCTGAAAAAATCAATTACTGTAATCCCTAAACCCTGAAAGCCTGAACCAACCCCGAATACGACAGGACCGCTCGAAACTCCTAGACGACTCTCAACCCGCCTAAACCTCAAAACTTCCTAAAACCCCATTTACACATGCTAAACACCCTCAACCCGAAACCCCACAACCTCTGAGTGCCCCAACGCTGCGCCGAAGCCAACTCGGCGCGAAGCTCTCTGACGTCGAAGGCGAGGTCGTCGTTTCTGAGGGTTGAGGGCCGTTGCTTTGGTTTTGCTCAGCCCCCCTGTTTCAGCTCTAGGCTTTAGGGTATAGCGGTTAAGGGCGCTTAGGGTTCAAGGTTTAGGCTTCTAGGGTCTTCAGCTTTTTTGTCGTCCTCGCATCATGGTTTAATCAGCTGTTTCGGCACCGTGTCGGTAAAGCTGTTCCCAACGAGCCTGCCCATCACAGTCTCGGAAACGTAGCGGTTCACAGTAGCTGGCCAGGGCAGGAAGGTGTACCAGCTCCTCCGACTCCACGCTCAGCCATGGGACTGGGACCAAAGGTCAGGGCTGCTGTCACGGGCGCGGGTGATCGTTGGACACACGTGCCAACCAATGTTCACATTGGATCACCCAACATCTACCAGTGGAGTGGCCATTTACGGTAGCACTACGGTAGCTTTGTCGCTTCTTCATGCTTGCCTTTCGCCCTCCTGAGTGCTCGTTCAGGCCAAAGATTTCAGCCGGCGGCGGTTCGTGGACAAAGGTAGCAAGGCCTCAGCACCAAGCGTCCGAAGGACCCGAGAATCCAGGGTTCTATACGGGTCGCATGAGGGCTTTGTAAGAGCTTCAGTCTGTTTAGGAAGGGCCTTAGATTATGGGCCTGAAACGTCCAACAGACCCAAGTATCAGGCACAGGGGAAAAGCAAAGTGGGTCGGTAATTTCTGAAGTTTCTGGTGGGTTAAGGTTTGGACCCTATCACTGGCCTGTAACCCTAAACCCTTACCTAGACCCTCAAAATACGTAAAATAATGGCCCCAAAACCTAAAAAAAGCCATTATACTACATACTTTTGGGGTCCAGGTAAGGGCTTTGGGATTTTATGTCACTGAGGGACCAAGGCTTCTATACTGAACTTAAAACCCTAGCAAAAAATTATTATTTTAGCTGTTTCTTAGGGATTATAATAACCAAAAACCAAAAATTATCCGCTAAACCCTAAAACCCTAAACCCTAAACCCTGAACCCTAAACCAAAACCCTAAACCCTAAGTACCCCCCAAGGCTTCTGGGACTGTGGGAGATCGCAGGTTGGAGTAGGTCTCTGAATTACGAACCTGGGCATCTCACGGTTAGGGGTTTGGGTTTAGGGGTTCCATAGGCTTGTGGGGTGAGTGTAAAGGGTATAGGGCTTTAGGGTAGTAAGTTGGAGGGTTTAGGATTTAGGGTTTTGGCGTTGAGGGTTTCGGGTTCGAGGGTTTAGTTGTTTAGGGCGTTGAGGATTTAAGGCTTAGGCTGTAGGTTTTGGGGTCTAGGTCGGGTCCTTCTGTATGGCTTTTGTTACTCGTGTCCACATAAGTAATAAACACGTCTATAAGCAGACACCCACATGATCACAACACCAACTAAATTACATCATACAAGAATCAACATGCCGATTCCATTTCGATTTGGCGTGTCATTGTTCAGATTTCTGCAAATACTTACCGGGACTTTTTGGTTCTTAGCAATTAACCCTAAACTCTAAGCCGTTTCCAAGTTTGAGCTCTTGAGATCTCATTCATGGGGTTATGAGTAATTATAGGTATAGTTACCTTAATAGTTAATAGTAACACTAGCTACTATGTCCAATGATCCTCCAAGTGGACGATGCAGTTCCGGGTTTCGGGCATTCCTAGGGGCAGGTCTGTCGGGATTCAGGACCGGACTTCCACGGTCACTGCAGAACCGCAGCTAGTTTAGGGTTCAGGGTTCAGGGGTCTAGGTTTAGGAGCTTACAGGGAACTCCAGAAAGTTGGAATATGGTTCCATGGTGGGATACCCTATAATTTTCTGGCTTTTACCTTATGGTTTAGGGGCTTAACGTGCAAACCTTTGGGACAACTCACTTCAGCTGCGAAGCTGGTCTCACTAGGAGCGCTTTATCGTTGCAACTCGCGTACATGACTAGGAGGTGCTTTTAAAGCCTTTGAAAAATATTAGTAGGTAAGATCCTCTTAAGCCCAACAAGAGAAAACATAAAATGCCCCAAAGCCCTACCTAGATGATGGCGCTATCAATCGAACAGTGTATCTTCCTGATCGCGCTAGAGGTCTCCATACAACCTTCCTAGGTCCTGGCCGCCTAGCCCCTATCCCCACCTGAACCCTGAATCACCAACCTTTTTAGGATTCCTTTCCATGACTTCCTTGCATAGCCCTTGAAAAAGAAAGGTTCATTCGTGTCCAGGCAGATCCGCTATCCCTAGCCAAATCCTTGCCACCCGAGGCTCTCCAGCCGGAGAGTACCATTGACCTCCTGCTGCAGCTTCTCTGCCTGAGGTTTGCATTCGAAATCTACTCTAGGACCTAAAGGAGACTTTCAAGCTTGCAAGGATTCGTCTCCTTTTGTGAAGCTTAGGTCGCCTCTGTTACATGAAGGAACACCGGCTTTCAAAAAATGCATCTGGAATGACTGCCACCATTGCCTATAAAGCCTGTGTGTGTAATCCCCCTCCCCACAACGGACCTGTAACTACCGATTCCCCAAACCCTGAACCCTAAGCCCTAAACCCCTCCGACCTCAGCCAACTTCAACTTGAGGACACCGTAGATACTTTGCTCTGCGATCTCCTCCTTCAACCTCGGGGTATCGGAGTTGAGGGTGGGGGGCAGTGTAGGGTTTTAGGGTTTAGGGGGTTTGGGCTCTTAGGGTTGAGGGGTTTACGGCTCAAAGTTAAGGGTAAGGGAGCCTATGGCGCTTTAGGGGTTTAGGAGCCTATAGCGCTTCGCATAACGGTTCCTGCAAGGACTCTTCATTGGAGGGTGGAGGGTACCCTGCACAGCCCCTGCAATTATCGAACTTGTCCACCGGATCCCTGGCCCCAAAGTAGAAGCCAGAAAGCTGGAACGTCATTCTCCTCATGCCCTTAAAGTCAATTATACGGGATCCTAGCACGAATCCTTCTAAAGCCATGTTCCAACTTTCTGTCTTCTATTATAGCATCGTTCGAACACAAATCCCGATTGACCGACCTCTAACCAGGCTGCCACGAAGGATTTCTGCCCAAATCGCTGTAGGAGTACGGCGCTTGTACGGAACGCGTCGAATTACACTGGGACTACTGTACTTTAAAATTTTAAAAATTGAAACTTAATTTAGATCTCAAGCAAAGAACGAACAACGAACTACTTCTTGAACCCAAAGTTTCAAACGGAAAACACCAAAAACCTTGATTAAACCCTAAACAGAACATTCCAAACAGAAATCCGGTCTGGGCCTTCAGTGAGTGGGTAATACATGTACATACGGATCGCAATGCAACCAGGCTTGTTGCTGGGGACTGTGGCGCGAAATTTCAGGAGAGGGTGGTAAGGGCGTAGATGGACGCAAATTGGAAGAGGAATCCTATTTCTTGCAGCAGCTCGGGTCCTTTACACCGACTTCTGGCCTACTGTTTCCCATGATCCTACAAGTAGCTCAGCTCTCCTTCACCCCTTGTCTAACCCCAATGTAAAAGCCAGAGGGACCTTAACAAGTTCAATGAGTTTTAGTGGATATGTAGGCTCCCCTTCTAGTCCGCGTATACTTATACTATGAGATACCCCCCAAAAAAAAACATTCAAGTACACGTAATAAGGCCCCAATGTTCCCCGGGAAAGTGCTGGCGCACCTCTCGTGGCAACTCTCCAGCTGCTCCTCGCAGTCTACGAGTTTTGCCTCCATCGCGCGGAAGCCCTCCTGGGAAGGGGGATGTCCCACGCTTCAGGATTTAGGATTTAGGATTTGGGGTTTAGGATTTAGGGTTTTGGATTTAGACTTTAGGATGTAGGGTTTAGGATTTAGGGTTTAGGATTTAGGGTTTAGGACTTAGGCTTTAGGTTTCGGGGTTGAGGGGCTCCAGAATTATGGGTCGAAGAGGGAAACCTTTCGGCTGTAAGGATTCAAGATAACGTTTCGGGCCCAGATAGTGGAGGGCTAGGCACATGGTTCCGGTTGATTGAAACTCAAGAACGAAAGTGCAGCAAACCCCACACGCTACACACCATGACCTGGTGTTTCGCTTTCGGAAAGGAAGTAGAGAACGTGTTGCAGGATGTTGTCGCCGACTGCATCAGAAAGCGGGGTGTGTGTTTGTTTGTGACAGGGAAAGAGAAAGAGTGAGTGAGTGAGTGAGTGAGCGAGCGAGGGCACTGCGCCTGTTCTTGGTCATCACACCTGTTCCTGCTGAGATTGCTCAGCTTTGCAATAATGAATCTGCTCACAACCCACACCAAAACACATTTAAACCGTCAATATCAACAAGTAAACAACTAATGGTCACTCACCGATAGACGACCAACACAGCAGACATACAGACACAAAAACCGTCGCAAAGGAGGAAGCAACAAATCACGAAAGATGCATCTGTGTGTGTGTATATATATATAATTGTTTTTTTATCCCTAAACCCTAAACCCTACACCCTAAAGCCGAAATATATACCTTTGTACGTAAGAAAAAGAAAGTGCCAGGCCTCCTTCCGCCTGGAGTCGAGGAGCTCCTTGAACTGGACATCTCCTTCCTCAAAGGCACGGGCGAATAACAATCTATGACTACTTAAAGACTGTGCACAGGGCCTGCCTTTGCATATCATATCATATCATATATCATATCATATCATATATATATATATATATATATATATGTGTGTATGTATGTCTCACACTATATAACAAACAAGTATGAATATATGTGTATATACATATACACAAACAGAAAAGAGAAACCACATGACATATATACATATATGTACATAAACATAGACATATAGATACGTACATATATATATATATATATATATATCCATATAGATATATAGGCGGGTACATACAATGCTAATCCAAACCACAACATGATATACACATGCATGTACGCTAGAGCCACTAGAGGCTTAGACACTCGCTGGCCCAAAACCCAAGGAAATAACAGTTGAAACTTTCAGAATCGACCACCTTATAAGAACACCAAAAGTTGAAGAGTTGAGTTTACAGCCTAAACCCTAAATCCTAAACCCTAGAAACCCTAGAAGCTTCCACATCACAGGCTTCGCCCTGGGTGTCTTAAGACCAAAGGTGGGACTACAGCAGCAGCCATCTTAGACTTAGTAATTAGCCGAGTTCATGAGTCCCCAAAAGTGTACACTTTTAGTTTTATAGTGGGTGGTATTATCCCAAAAGGTGTAAAGTGTATCCACTCAGCTACTAAGGAGACATGCGTCGCATCTCTGCTCGTCGAGCTCCTTCTGGGCCTCGTCGAGCCTGAGCTCTGTCTGCCCATAGAAAGAAGGGCTCGGGGAATTCAGGGTTTAGGGTATAAGGTTTAGGGTTTAAGGTTTACGGAATTTGGGGTTTAGGGTTTAATTTTTACAGGGATTAAGGATTTAGGGTTTAGGGTTTAGGCTCGAGGGTTCAAGGGTTTCCCTTTGTGGGATCTCTGGCTGTTGTGTTGAATGGCTAAGTCATGTCTTGGGCCTGACATACTGTGTTAGCTCGTGTGTAGTTTGGTTGGGGGTGTGCCGGGGGCGGGGGGAGGAGTGGTTGCGGTTTGGGGCTTCGGGTCTTTCTGACCTCACAAGGAACCGAAGTCCCAAACCTCAAAGCAGAGGCAGAGCCAGGGGACAACGTGTCTTCTTGCTTAGATTCTGCGAAAGATCAAGCAAGCACTTCGTCACTTCCTGATGCACTTCGGAGGATAGTTACTAAGTTGGGCTGGTGGTCATCCACCGAACCAAGCCTTGTGCTTCTTTAAGGCAGTCTTCTTTCAATCTTAGCTGTCTTCAACAAGGTTTTCAAGACTCCACCTCCAGCGAGCTTTGGGACGAACTCTAGGGTGCTTCCACGGTTCCGCCAATCAGCCAAGCACTCGTGCTTTGAGCGCAGGAAGTCTCCAAACGAATGTTGCAGTCCTGCATCTCAAAGCCGCAGTTGCGGAGGAGCTCGTAGAGAAGCTCAAGATTGTCGTTGCGACCATACCAACAGGTGAAGGTGTAGTCATTCGGGTGTTGAGTTGGCTGAGATAGCCTAGTCTTTGAGGACCCGTAACTGGTAGAAACAGACGGGACTTATGATAATGCAGGCAGCCATCTGTGTGAAGCAGGTCTTCGCAGCAAGCTCAACAGGCGCCTCAACAGCAGAACGATGCCTCTGGCAGACTCTAGCATCATACAATCTTTTCAAGAAGCTGTCTATTCTACTGAACCTAGACCCTGAACCCTTGCAAACACCATATTTCTGATGTCAAGCTCTGAAGGTGGGGGACCGTAAACCCTCAACCCTAAGCCCTAAACAGATTCAAACTCAAGACCCTAAACCCTAAACAAACGTAAATCCAAAACGCCAAACCATGAATCCATCTAAATCCCAAACCCTGAACCCCAAATCCTGAACCCCAAACTTCATCCCTAAAAATATCGTCTCAAGTGGCTCGTCTTGGGTGCTCAAGAGCTCTTCATGGTACCAGTTCAGCACCTAAGAAACACGGGCATTCTAGGCCTGGGCTTTGAAGTAAACGGGGGGAAACAGGTCTAGACTTTTATTTCTTGATGGTTCCCTTTAAGTAACAGTAACAGGTTTTCCTTTAAGTAAAAGGTCCCCCAAAAAAGTCTAGTACTAACGTATGGTGCTCAGAAGCCCAGAGGTAGGGTTCCTTGAAGAGTTCCTTGAAGGGCTCCGTTTTAACGAACATGGGGTACTGTAGGGGGTGTGTCAGAAATAAGGGGCTCTACGTGGGTTCGGCTACAGGTACTATCTATCGGCTTCCATTTATAATTAGGGTCACCCTTGAAGGGTACTATGACTCTAGGGTTCTATAACGGAGTCCTGCGAAGCATATCAAGGGTTCTAATTCTAAGGGCTTTGTATACGGCCTCATTCGGTTTTAAATGCGTCGCTAGAGTAATTATAATAATGATAATAACCATAATAATAACAACCACAACAACAATAATAATGAGAATAATAATAACAACAATAATAATAACAATAAGGAGCAGTGGAATATGTGCTGGCGATGACGGGACTGTGGAGACGGCATACTGCGAGCAGATAGATATAGCCCGGAGGGTCCATGTACGCAAATAGTACATACTTTAGCACCCAAGTACCTAAAAAAGGACTACCAAAGGCCAAAGCATATACTCTGTGTATATATATATATACATGAGTACATGGACCCTCAGGGTAGGGTAGGGACTTCAATTCAAGGGGAATACTGCTGCTTCATAGTACTTCAGACCCTGAACCCAGACATGAACCCTACACCTCAATGCCAAGTTGGCGGCGATAAAGTCGACCGACGACTGGTTCGTTCTGCCTCGTACAGGCACTCCGTCGCCGTGCAGGCACAAAGCGGCCAATGGGCTTGACTTGCTCACTTAGAGGTTCATGGGTACGTATAAGTAGGGTTATAAGTCCCCTATTAGGGGTTATAACTATAGTTACCCTACTTATAACCCCACTTATAACTACCCATGAACCTCCAAGCAGACTCCCTGCCTTGCTCACGCTCTTGGGTTTTAGGGTTTGGGGTCTTCCCAAGCTTCCTTAACCCTCTGCAGCTCCTGCCCAAACGGGCTGCTCTCTGAACCCTAAACCCTAAACCGCTAAAACCCTAAACCAACCCTAAACCTAAACCCACCCTAAACCCCTAAACCCCTAAACCCTAAACCCTAAACCAACCCTAAACCCTAAACCCCTAAACCCTAAACCAACCCAAAACCTAAACCCACCCTAAACCCCTCAACCCTAAACCCTAAACCCTAAACCAACCCTAAACCCTAAACCCTAAACTGGCGGCAGAGCCTCCTCAACTGCGCCTGGTCGAGGAAGCAGGAACGGCAGCTGCTCGTGCTTCACTTCCCTTGTCCGCCTAAGCCCCAAGCCCTGAACCCTAAACCCTAAACCCCTGAACCCCTAAACCCTAAACCCCTGAACCCTAAACCCTAAACCCCTGAACCCCTAAACCCTAAAGCACCTGCGGGGCGGATTCAAGGGCGGAGGCCTTTATGATTGCTTTTTGCAGTGCAGTAGCCCTTTCATGTCCGATTGTGGAAACGACATCAGGAAATGAAACGCCTAGAATCCCTGAGACCGAAATCCCGAGGAACCTAAAACCATCGTTGCTGAGTTCATAAGCCTCATAAAGTGTATCCCAAGGAAAGTAAAGTGTATCCACTCAGCTACTAAGGAACCAAAAAGCCTACCACAAACAAAGCCTCAGAATCCTTAACCAGACCTAAGCCCCTCCAACCGAAAACTCAAAGGCCTGCCCTAAAACTTAAAAAATTGACCTTGCGGTTTCACTTGGGGGCTGAGTATCCTAGCCTGAACAGGATAACCTTTCCAACTATGGACCCCACAAGGTTAAAGGTTACCTACCCAGCTACTACGAAACGTGAAGCCCGACCCAATACACGAAACCCTGTATTTTCGGTTCCCATATCATAGCACGTTGAAAGATCCCTTATAGTAGCCCTTATAGGAAGGGCCGGGGAACCTTCTAAGACCTCTTCACCCACTCAACCCTGCTGCGACCCCTCAAGTACCCTCTAGTCCCTTCCCCCGTTTATCAGACACGCCCCTAATCACGAAACCACATTGGGGCGAATCCTCCCGAAATCATCCCTGCCCATGGAAACCTTAGCGAATTACGGGAGAGGGAAGGAATTAACGCTCCTTTAAGGGCACGTTCGGAGGGCTCCTTTCAGGGCTCCCGTAAAGAGCTCTTATCATTCCTCATCAACAGGTGATTACTCGCCGGGCTGCAATAGACCCCAAACCCTAAACCTGCGGCCGAGGAACACGGTCTCTTCTCGCCAACTCCTTGCGATAGGACTGCCTCGGGTTTAGGCTTTCGGTGTCTTTTTCAACCTTTCTGGACAGTGAAGCACCCTCGTCTGGGAAAAAAACACTAGGATGCCCAGTAACCTAAGAAAACAAAGGCCTCTCTTTTTGGTATTGGGTAACTTTATAAGGAACCTAGGACTACAAAAAGGGAATAAGGGTACTACTGGGCATCCTAGTGAAAAGATGAAAAGCAAGGTTTCGGGCCCGATTAGGGCTTGAGGTCGCCATGCCGACACAACATGCATTCTCGGGCCCGCTCTGCTAGCGGCCAGTCTGGTCTTATACAACCCTAACCCTGAACCCCCTAAACCCGAAAGTGGGTCCAGACAGACCCGAAGATCCTCCTACATGGGAAACTTCGGAAACCCTGCTGACTCTTAAACCGCGCCCTTCGAAGCGACTATGTTTCAATCTCGCCTTTGCGTGATGGTTCTATCTCCAGCCTTAAAACCTAAACCCTAAAACCAAAACTTTAAAAGCCCTAAAACCGTACAGCCTGTGGCCTACCGGGCTTCTGGAGCATTGAAAAACTGGGCAACAGGAAAGCATTGAGGCTAGACCTAAGAGTAACTTAGGAATAAAAAGGGTGCCCTTTTTGGTTTAAAGGGCGCTATAAGGGAACCTGAACCCTAAAAAAGGGAAAAAGGGCCTACTCTGGGTCCTAGGAGGTTCCGTTGATGAATCCCTCCCACACCCCAAACCTTAAAACCCTACTAGGTTGAGGGTTTGCAACCCCAAACCCTAGAAAAGGAACCTCTACCCGCTGCTTGAATTAACACTGAGATGCTCTCTCTCGAGGAGCTGCTGGATCATCTCCATCTCGTCCACCTAAAGGATCAAGGGTCTCAGCCACTTGAAGGGTCCCTAAAGGGTTGATGGCGTGCTTAAAGGATCCGGGGGCTTCGCAAGTGGGGCCATACGTAGGATAACCAGCTACATTGCTGCTGTTGATGATATAAATCCTGCGTTACCTTAATGACCCTAAGCTATGGGAATTATGGTATGTATCCTTATTATGGGGAATGCAGGATTTATATTATCAACCCTAGGTCCCCTAGCAGCCTGAGCTGGTAACATAGAGCAGCATGGTTTTGATCAATCCGACTTGCGGCATGAGCGGCTGACCAAATCTTCCAACCCGAACATCGCCAAACCTTAAAACGGTTGAGGGTTTAGGGTTTACCTTAAACAGCCACAACCTGCTGCAATTTTGACACTACTATACATGTCAAAAAGGGACCCTACCAAAACAGGTCTTGGTAGTTTCAGGTATGGTTAAGCTTAAAAGCTCAAACCTCCAAACCTTGAAAGCCCAGATCGAAGCCCTCCAAGAATTGTTGGCAAGCAGTGGGGCTTCGAAATCCCCGACAGACATCCTGGATTAGACTTACGGTCCCAATTAGGGAGTTTAGGGTTTAGAATTACAGGGTTCTGAGACTTGTGAGAATCAAGCTCGAAAAAACTCAAATCTCAGAACAGGCTGTGGAAGGTTGCCCGGTTGTGAGCTTTCTGGTTAGGGCTTGTAGGCGTTGAGGCTCTGAACCCGAAACCTTAAACCCCAAACCTAAACTTAAACCCTAAACCCTATAAACCTAAACCCCATAAACTAAACCCTAAACCTAAACCCTAAACCCCTAAGCCCTTGAACCCCCCAACCCTAAACCCTAAAGCATCGACACGACTTGCACAACCGGCTCACCTCCTCGTCATCATCGTCCTTCTCCTTGCTTTGGGCCTGACCGGATTCGTGGGCTGAACCCTAAGGATCCAAAGGACCCAATAATCAGGTATTCGGTTTTGGTATAAAAGTTATGCAGGTGAAAATGCTGGGAGTATACCCATGGGCTGAATGGTTTTATAAGGGTTTCGTGGGGCTGTACTGGGGTCTTCTAAGGCTTTTCGAAAGGCTTTCTGTCCAATCATGGGAACTAGTCGGCATGAGCTAGGAGCCTTCCTATAAGGTGCTAGGATGAACTTGCTCTTAAGGGTTCTGGGTTTAGGCTTCAGGGGTTAGGGCTTGGGGGTGAAGAGTTCTCATGTGGGGACCTGGGTGTCGGCGCGAAAGTTCTATCTTATAACCCTACTAACTAATGTAGGGTTTGGAATATTGCCTTCTGGTCCCACAATATCGATGCGGTATCACAAAACCCTATTCTAGCCGTTAAGGCCCGTATACTGCACTCCATAAACCCCTTATACAACCCTCACAGAAACCCTCTTCTAATTCTTCAGGCACCTGTAACATGATCCTCCGAGAAACTACTTGAAGCTAAACGCACTTTGCCTGGTCCTCTGCAGGGCGAAAGTTGAACCTGCGTTTGGATTGTTTCGAGGGCTTCCTGGGTTTAGGGCTTTGAGGATTTCGGCTATAGGCGGTTAGGGTTTAGGCGTCTAAGGTTGAAGGTTTAGGGGCTACGGGAGCAGAGTCTAGGGTTTCTGGTCTCCAGGGCTTCTACAGGGTGTTGTATGTTTTTCTCCGGGCTGCATAGGGCCGTGAGCTGCAGGGTCGAGATTGTCGGCTGTTTTGGGGCTTCAGCTTTTCCAGGTTTGGGTTTCAAGGTCTTCGGAGCTCTGGTCGTGCACTCTGGAAATGAAGCTCGGTGTTATATGGTTTAGATATTTAAAGTACTTGGCACTATCCTGCAATGGATAGAGGCAGTAGTCATGACTAGAAACTGACTTTGCAGGATCCATGAAGCTTCGGCGGTGTGCCTATACTGAACTTAGAACCCTAGCAAAAATTATAATTTTAGCTGTTTCTTGGGGATTATAATAACCCAAAAATTAAAGATTATTTCTAAGTACCCCTCAGGTGCCTGTTTTGTTGGAGTGCGTGGCATCCGCCTTTACGAGCTCAGGGCTTCGGTTTAGCGAATTGTGCTGCTAGGATACCCAGTAACCTAAGAATAACAAGGCCTCTCTTTTTGGTATTGGGTGGCTTTATAAGGAACCTAGGACTACAAAAAGGGACTAAGGGTACTACTGGGCAGCCTAGTTGAGTGATCAGTTGTAGTTGTAATCGGGTAGGGTACGTGTAATTGAAGGTGGCTCAGGCCTCCGTAGTTGCGCCGCTTCGGGGTTCCGGGTTTGAACAAACCCTACTATCTGATGTAGTGGTCCGAATGAGGCTAAGAGTCCAGGATTTGGATTAGATGTTTGCATAGAGCCCCGATCCTTGACCATTTCCAGCCTTGCACCTTTTCCAGTAACCCCAATCCTTCATAGTCATTAACTCAAAGCCCACAGCCCGTGAACCCTAAACGGTACCAAACAGTTTCAGGAAATGGGGGGACGACCCCCCCAAGTATCAGAATCCGCAACAAAGGACCCCTTGTCCCTTGTCCCCTCATTGTCCGAAAACGAAACTCCCATCAACCCTAAACCCTAAACCCTATGAACCCTAAACCCTACCTAGACCCTCGAAAGTAGGTAAAATAATGGCCCAAAACCTATAATAAAGCTATAATTCTACATACTTTTGGGGTCCAGGTAACCCTAATCCCTCCTTAAAACCCTAAACCCAAAACCCTCAACCTTAAAACCCTAACCCCAAACCCTAAGTGTCAACAGGCCTCGAGTTCGACTGCGCCGTCGAGGCACCAGCTTCCAGTGCCGGCGAGGGCAGGAGCATGTCAACCTCGGCCGATCACACCCGAAACCTGGGTTTTATAGTACAGGCCTATAGGGTCCTAGGGCCTAGGGTTCCTTTAAAGGGACCCTCTAAACCCTAAACCCGATAGACCCTATAAGCCCTAAACCTGGGTTTTATGGTGGCCCAGCCCAATGCTCACGGCTTAGGGCTTAGGAGTTTAGGGTTTAGGGTTGAGGGTTTAGGGTTTCGGGTTCAGGGTTTAGGGCTTACTTGGAGGGTCGGGGGACTTAAGTAAGTAGGTAGTAAGTAGACTTATAAGTACCCTGAAAGGGACCCTAATTGGGGTTATGGTACTTATAAGTCCCTAAAGTAACCAGTTACTAAGTCCCCCGACCCTCCAAGGAAACCTGGGTTTTGTAGTACAGGCCTATAGGGTTCCTAGGGTTGCTTTAAAGGGACCCTCTAAACCCTAAACCCGACAAACCCTACAAGCCCTAAACTCGATAAACCCTCAACCCGATAAACCATGTAAGCCCTATAAGCCCCAAGCCGTATGAATCCTATGAACCCTAAAACTAAACCCTTAACCCTCGGCCGATCACAAGACCGCTCCATGCAGAGCTGAGGCGCTTTCTGCGGAGCTTTAAGATGATGCAAGAGTTTTAAGCTAAACGGATTAGATTTTCGTTTCGAAAGGCTTAGGGTTTAGGGTTTAGGGTTTATAGGGTTTGGGATTTATAGAGTTGTGGGTTTAGGGTTTATAAGCTTTACGATTTTAAGGTCAGAGGTTGCGGGCGGAGAGCTTTCCGTAGAGTTCTGAACCTAAATGGGGCACACACACACACACACACACACACACACACCGGACCTTGAACTCGGACTCAGACGTCAGCTGACTGTGCTTCGCGGAAACTTCACAAGAGGACGTTGCCTAAAGCCTAATTACGTAGTGCCAAACGAAAACGATCGTCATGAAGTAATTGCAGAGTTTATTGAGAGTTTCGGGCAACGTAGACGCTCATACCCTACTCCTCTTTTTGGATACCTGGTTTTATGGTTAGGTTCTGCTATATAGAAAAGTAGACACCCTAAAATAGGGGTAGGGTATGAGGGTATGAGCCTACCGGTATGGGTCTATGTCTTGACTGACCCCTAAACAATAAGGGTACCAGTTCCTTAGTATTCGGTTTTTAATAAGGAGACCCCAAATTAAAAGGAGAAACAAGTATTACTCAGAGGTCCCGATACCCCTTACTTAAGGAATAGACCTTAAATCACAGTGCTAAGGCCTCTATATTTCAAATTATATTCCTTAATTAAGGGGTATCGGGTTCTCTAGGTATTACTCAGGAACCTAGTATATAGACCCTAAACCCTTATAGATCCCTGATACAGCCCTTTTTCAGGATCCTTGCAGAACTCTTTAAGGAGCCCTTTACTTACCTTCGGTTAGTAGGGAATGGAAGAATGGTAGTAATAGTAGTCATAATTGTACCCCATTCCTCCATTCCCTACTAACCAAAGGTAAGTTTAAGGCTCTGCTCATGAACCTAGCTTAACAATCTAGGACAGTAGCACTCCCATGGGGCTCCGAAGCTTGAGATCCGAACTCCAAAATCGGTCTAGGGCTTTAGGGTTTAAGGGTTCAGGGGTTTAGGGGCTAGGGTGGCGGTTTAGGGTTTAGGGTTTTAAGGGTTCAGGGGTTCAGGGGTTGAGGGCTTGGGGGTTAGGGTAGCGGTTTTAGGGTTAGGGCTTAGGGTTTTAGGTTTCAGGGTTTGGTTAAGGTTTAGGCCTGGGGCTTAGGGGTTAGGATTTTAGGGCAAGGTTTAGGCTTCAGGGTTTAGGGGTTTAGGGTTTAGGAAGTTTCTGCTGAAGGCTGAAATTCTTGAGACCCACCGACCAAAACGAGGTTCGTCATCAAAGAATGGACCTTGAATGATAGATGAGTCTAGTCTGTACTTTACTACCCTACAGGCCCTACCAGGGGGGACCTTTTGGGGTTTAGGGTCTCGGGTTAGAGTTCAGGGGTTCAGGGTTTGGGGGTTTCGGGGTTCAGGTTTCGGCTAGGGCTTTCTGTTCAGAGCTGCTACAGTTTACGGAGGATCCCTGACGTTTCCTTAACTATGACAAAATCCACTGCCCCTCTGTCTGCCCGAGTTACACCGTAGACACTATACGACCTAGACTTTAAAGCGTCCTGAAACATGGCCCTAAACCACGACTCAGAATCCAAATCCCTAAACTTCCTAAACTAGGCCCGAAACTGTTGCACTCTTCTTCAACTGGCGCTCCGGCAGTTTTGCGTCTGACACACAATGCAAGCACTCAGCGTGACCACTTTGCGGCACGGCGGGATCAAACTCGACTGTGGGGAGGCTTCGGGGGGTTATTCTAGACCTAGTAACCTAGGAATTGAATAAAAAGGGCGCCCTTTTGGTGTAAAGGGGCTTATAGGGAACCTGAGCCCTAAAAAAAGCCTACTGTAGGTCCTAGAAGGACTTTGTAATCGGGCTCTCCAATTTGAAGTTGTCCGGGGTTATTCTTGGCGGCATGCATCTTGATAGGACTCTACAAGAGCGCTGCAGGGCTTGCTCAATAGACTCACAACTTGCTCGAAAGTATGGTGCTTGGGCTCAAAGTCTAAGGTTTCGGGTTTAAGGTTAGGGTTTACGGTTTAGAGGTTTAGGGTTTAGGGTTTAGGGTTTAGGGTTTAGGGTTTAGGGTTTAGGGTTTAGGGTTTACTTGAAAGCATATTTCGTTTTGCAGGGGCTAGAACGGATTGTTTCGAATGATCAGCGGGCCGCGCAAATGAGCTGAGATAGGGATGCAGGTGCAGTGTCTTCAAGTAACCATGCGCAAGCCAATACTACCCTACTATGCCCTACTTACCCTGATTGTCCAAAGGACCCAACAAGTAGGTACTTATAGGTTTCGAAGAGGGTTACGTAGGTATGTAGGTTCCTATTTGGGAGAGTATATGATTAAGTACCTGGACCCTTAGGGTTATAATCTGTAAATACGGTCCTACGATGCTCGGTAGGGGAACCTGAGGAATGAGCACATAACCTTGGGGGCCTTCTTGAGTGGTAACTGGGTAAGGAGTCGGCCAGGAGCAGGCAGAAACAGTTATGCAATCTGGGCTCTTGCTAAGGGATCCAATATAGGGATCTATAGTAAAGAACATGGTTTCGTTATGGTAACTTCAGTTAAATCCCTGAACAACCCTAAACCCTAAACCCAACCGTAAACCCTAAACCTAACCCTAAAGCCTAAACCCTAACAAGAACCCAGGAATTCAGGTTGAGGATCCCTTGAGTCAGCTTGGCACTGCTTCGAGCTTGACCCCGGGCCGGGAAAACTGAAATCGAGGCTGCACGACTCAAGCAACTCTGAAATCGATTCCGGTTGGAGGTTTAGGGGTTTAGGGTCTAGGGGTTTAGGTTTTGGGGTGTACGGTTTAGGGTTTACGGAGCTTAAGGGCGCCCTTCACCGTCACCTTTCGTTTCAAATCCCAGAACCCTATGCTTGGACCATGGGCGCCGAAACCCTAAACCAACAACCCTAAATCCTACCAACCCCTAAAACCCTCTATTCACTTGGAGAACTGCTGCAGGAACTCCACGATGCTGTTGACGAGAGTTCTCTGCCAAGATGGCTGGTATGGCTGCCCCTCCTTGGATGTACTTGCAATGTCTTGCTTGTGTGTTTCGGTTTCTCTGTGATTCGTCTTGGCGGCTTTATTCACTTTGAGCCTGTATGTTATTGTTCTTGTGTTGCTTTGTTCAAGTTCTTGGTGCTGCAGCGATTTAGAGGGTATTACAGACAACACTCCTGACAAGCTCACTGTTGCTCTGGATGCAGCTAGTATTGCCTTGATCTGCGCAGGTTGCAAAGGTCTACGGCTCCCAGAGATTCAGGAGTTGCAGCACGCTGGGTTCAGGGTTCAGGGGCATATGGGGTTGAGGGCGTTGAGGGAGGTCACCAAACTCTGAGAAAAAGGATTTAAGGTTTTGGCTTTTTGAGGTTTAGGTTTTAAATGCTGATACGTTAAGCGATGCGTGTTGCAGGACTGAGTTTAAGGCCCCGTTCAGACGAAGACTCTATCCGCATACACAGTACACAAAACGGGAAACGTTGAACAACCCACGTGCCACAGTAAGGAGCCTGCGCTGTCTACAAACATATAAAACCTATGAAAGCTACCTTTGAGACTCTTCAACGTTAGGGCCTACGGCAGGGTTTACTCGTTGGGCAATGCTAATTCAGCTACGCTCAGTGCAAATAAGGCAAAAGCCAGAAAGTTGGAATATGATTATCCTAACCCCTTTAAGGTAAATTATGGGGGATCCTACCATTAATCCATATTCCAACTTTCTGGAGTTCCCTTTACAGTATCCTGAACTTGCAGCTGAAAATGAAGCAGAAATCCGAAACCTCTCAACCCCTAGCCACAGAAAACCAGGTGTCGGGGTAGGGGAAGGGCTTGCCCACGGCATAGAGGATGCCCATCAGCCCTCCAACACCTCAGCTCTACCACTGAAGGAGGCCAAAAATCCGGCTTTCGCTGTTCAGTTCAAGGTTTTAGGGCTTTCTCCGTAGGACTTATATGCAATTTTCCGAAAATGGGGGACCCTAATATAGTACCCTAAACTGTACGATCCTTATTTTAAGGACCCTCAAATTAGGTACCCCCAATTTTCGGAAACTCCCATGTAGTGGTTGCACAGGCCTTATGTATGCTTCATATAAGAAGTGTGAGTAAAATTCGTCTAGGGCTTTGGGCTCGGAATTGTGGATTTGGGGCCTTGCTTGAGCGCTCTTCGGCTTCAGATAACCGAGTAACCCAATTGTAGTTCGTTCTTTGGTGCTACCTTACCTAGACCCTCCATCTACCCTATGCCCCTTATTTGGGACCATATACCCCTATTTGAGGGTACAAGGAGGGTTCTGGTTACAACATCCTAAACCGAGGGGGCTGAGTACCCCGGCCCAAAAAAGGTATCCTAAATGAAAAGTAAGGAGGGACCCCTAATAAGGACCCCTATAGGTATATACCCATAATATAGCCATTATATACCCATTATATAGCCCATCATGGGTCCCCATTAAGGGTCCCTCCTTTTCCCCTTTTAAAGTTGGAACTACAATGGAGACTAAAGGTAGTCCTCATGCCAAATCGACCACACCTCAGCTTCGAGACGTCGGGCTCGGCATTCGGCTTGTCAGGGTCTGCTTAGGGTTTAGGTTTTAGGGTTTCGGGTTTGGGGCGTCGGGTTTGGGATTTAGGGTTTAGGGTTCTGGTGTTGACGCGCTTTGAAGATCTGTGGATTTCAGGCATAGGAGGTTCAGGGCTTCCGGCGTGTTTGGGCTTCAAGGGTTGGTAGAGGGTTTTCGTGTTTCCCGATCACGGGCGTAGAGCCGCCTTCTAAGGTATGGCCAAGATACCTCCAGTGTTACCGACTCGTCGATCCATGACGTAGCCAATGGTATACTGCGTGACTTCGCCCGCCTGGCGGCTGCATCGAACTAATGGTTACATCAGAGACTGCCAGAGGTCGAAATCCTAACTGCATCGGTCTCGCCTTTTTTCATCACGTGCGACAGACGCCCACACACCACACACGGAGACAATCTCACACAAATATAACCTAATGCCAAGACCGCATCTCTGCGTCTCTGAAGCATTGAAACCCCTTAAGCCGAGATGGCTCAATCCTAATACTTCGAGCCCATGCAGAACCTAATGCCGAAACTCTAAAACCTAGACCCAGAGAGCTCAATACCCCTTAATTAAGGAATATGGCTTAAACTATAGAGGGCTTCATATTATGATTTAAGGGTATTAGTATATTCCTTAATTACGGGGTATTGGGCTCTCTGGGGACAACTAAATCCGAGAACCTTGAGCCGCAACTCCGAAATGACGGAATCTCCAAAGCCTACAAACCTGAAGCCCTAAACTCAGAACGTGGACGGGAAATGCTGAATCCCTAAACCCTATAAGCTGTATCCTAAATCCCGGCACGATGAATCCTAAACCCTAAACTGAGCCCTAAACCCTAAAATAAACACTAAACCCTAAACTAAACCCTAAACCCTGAACCCTAAACCCTAAGCTCTCCCCACGAAGGCCTCATTGAAGCGCAGGCTGCAGGCCTGCGGCGGATTTTCGAAGACCTTTCCGGTCGGCTCTGTGATCCTGGGGCTTCCGGCGTACACCAGGGGCCACCTTCCTTTAAAGGGTACTTCAGGGGTTCCTTTAAGGGATCTATAGGGGTTTAGGGTTTAGGACCCTAAGAGCAGCCTAGCACTAAAAAGGGTGCCCTTTTTGGTTTAAAGGGGCTTATAAGGGAACCTGAACCCAAACAAAAAGAGTGAGGGCCTACTCTAGGTCCTAGTTCATGATCCGAAAAGGGTTCAGGGCTCGGGGATCGTATTGACTATGATATAATGAGGAACCCTGACGAATAGTGACAGCCTTGTGTCAAGCTTCCGGGATACTTGTAGTGAATGTAGGATGGAACAACTTTGAGAGCCGGATGTCTAAAAGTTAAGTGTATCGTCAAGAGATTGCATCTCTGTATGATGAGTATAACTGAGTAAATAATCATAGAGATGGGAAAGAGAACACAAGCAAACACAATGATATATAAATAGCAAGCTTATATGTCTATGTGTAGATACACATACATATATATATATATATATATATATGTATACATTTATTATATGCCGACTTCTGACATGACGGCACATCTTGGATAAGCAGCCTTCGCAGCACTGTGTATGAAAGGCTGGTGGGGTGAATTGTAAGTCGGCGGTAGACATTGCGATATTCCGGGCATTTAAACCCTAAGCCCTAAGCACAGGAAACTTTCTTAGCCATATGAACTGCGAGGGCTTGGCACGGTCTTACACGCCACGGATTAGTATAGCTGGGAGGTGTAAAAAATTGGGATGCTAATTGGGAATCATTCTACGTCTAAGCAGACGTATGGGCTACTTACTACTCACTTTACTTCACAAGCGAACACGTAACGAGCGCAAACAACTTTCATGGGCTTTCCGGAATTTAAAAACATGGGTCCCTATTTAGGTTCCGAATATGGGAGTTTCCGAAAATCAGGGGTACCTTCTTTTGGGATCCTTTTAATAAGGATCCGACAAGCAAGGGAACAAAATACTAGGATCCCCGATTTTCGGAAACTCCCATATAGTACGGCACCCTTATGACAGCGTCGGCTGTGGCGGCACAGGACAGCTCTCCATCTTACCCTAAGACTCCATGTACCCATATAGTAGGTACTTAGGCCTTAAAGGGGTCCCTTAAGGCCTAAGTACCTACTATATGGGCACATGGAGCCTTAGTCCGTAAGGGTCCTTATTCCCTAAGGTTCCTTCTTCCTTACGGTTCCTTTTTCCTTAAGGTTCCTTATTTTTTTAAGGCTTCTAGGCTTCTTGGGTTTGGCTCGGACTCTGCGATCGACCCAAATGCCCCAAATTACGGTTCAGGGTTTCCGGTGATGACTAGGGAGTGTCCGAAAACAATAGCATCGTAAAAAAGGGCTCCTTAAAGGGATCTATAAGGGTTCTATACATTGTTTAGGGTTTAGAGTTTCCGAAAATAGGGGAGCCTTAATATAGCATCGTAGATAGTAGGATCCTTATTATGGGGACCCAAAATAAGGTACCCCTAATTTCGGAAACTCCCATTAGGGTTTAGGGTTCAGGGTTTCGGGGATAATGAGGGAGACCTTCAAGAAACCGTGACATACTGAAACGCCAAGCCATCCAAGGATCAGTGGCGGTGCTAGGCCAGTGTTTTTCCCATGTCCTCGAGTGGTAAACCAGACCTGGATACTATGGTTCCAGTACCGGAAACTGGTTTTGGGGTGCACGTATGGATTACTTGGAGGTTCATGGATAGTTCTAGGTCCCCTGATAGGGCTTGTAACTGTAGCTACCCTACTTATCACTCGACTTATACCTAACCATGAACCTCCAAGTAGGGCTTCAAGTTCAATGCAATCGGTTCTTCATTCTTCATGTCCAGAATATGTGTCTGAGGGCTTCGGCTTCGAGGGAATTCATTCTCAGGATACTGGATTTTGTTAAGGAACATAGTTTAAGGTAAAAATTGAATATCGCATTTTCTATTATAGTATAACAAAAAGTATATTTAAAAAACCGATGCATAAGAAGAGTAATGTCACTTTCACGGTAAGTCAAAGTAAACTCCAGAACCCAGGTTGCACCGCCGTTGAAATCCTGATTTAGTGCTGAAGTTGGGGCACAGGAAAAGGGGTGCACAGAATTCATGGGCGGCCAAGTATCTTTACGATGTACGAATCTCCGAATGCAAAGTTGAGTTTTGGTGAGAAACAACAAAAGAGAAAGCGTATCACTGGAACAAGTTAAACCCTAAACCCTAAATCCTGGAAAATCTGCGAAAATGCCTCCGAACGGGTTCGAGGGATCAAAACTCCCAGCGCCCTGTAGCACGGATTGCTGTACATCCTCCCAAACAATCCAAGCCCTAAACCCTAAGCCCTAGCCTTCAACCCATATGGGAGTTGCCGAATTTCCCCTAAACAGCCTACCCAAAGCTCCTACAGCCCTTCTCGGCCTGAAACCTGAACCAAAAACCCTGAATCCCGAACCTCCCTGAACCCTGATCAGGGCGGCAAGTTGTTTACCCCTTTACACAGGGAGTCTTGTTGGGATCCCCCACACTACATGCCACCTTCCGAACCCTTCGATGAATCCCTCAACCCTAAACCCTAATCCCTGAATCCCTAATCCCTACAAACCTAAATCCCTAATCCCCAATCCCTACAAACCCCAAAACCTAACGACCTACAGTAGAAGCCAGAAAGTTGGAACGTCAGTATCCTCATGCCCTTAAGGTCAAGTATAGGGAATCCTAGCACAAATCATCCTCAATCCATGTTCCAACTTTCTGGCTCCTACTGTAATAATAAGCCAAAAGGGCCCGGTTCGGCTCGAATGGGTCCACGCGGAAGTGGTGCCACTCGTTGACCGCATCCGGGAAGGCCTACACGGCAAAACTTAAAGCTTACAGGGTTCAGGGTTCCTTCAAGCGTTCTTACAAGGATTCTTTTTTTGAAGGGTTTAGGGTTGTTGAAGGTTTAGGGTTTAGGGGTTTAGGGTTTCATCATGTAGGGAAGATGTATGAGACCCTAGCTGAAAATGTCATGTCACACGCAAGCGTTCGAGGTTTAGGCACTTAGGCTTCTTCGTCGTGGGAGCTTACACTCACAATCGACAGCACTACTTCGCCGTGGCGCAGTCTCTAGACGAGTGGTGTCCGTCTTGGGTGCCGGCCTCTCGTATAGAGATCAGGGTGTATAGTTTTTTGGTGTAGATGGGTCGGGATGGCCGATGCCGCGGCCATAGTCCGCATCACAACTGTTACTCAAAACCCTAAACCCTAAATTAAGACCTAAAAGTCTATACTTTGCTCTCCCTGGCTACTTCACAGCCAAGGCCATGCGGAGGTCTTAAGCTTGCTGCATGAGGTCGGTGCCGATCGCCAGCACTGCAGACATCTCTGCGCTGATGCTCGTTTCCCAAGAAGGCCAGCTGACCCTAAACCCTAGACCCTAAGCCCTAAACCCAAATCCTAAATCCGGCCAGCTGGAGGCTTTGCATCTGTTTCAGGCATCCTATCCCATCACGCCCTAGGATGCCCAGTAACCTAGAAATAAAAAAAGGCTCCCTTTTTCGGTATTGGGTAGCTTTATAAGGAACCTAGGACTACAAAAAGGGAATAAGGGTACTACTGGGCATCCTAGCATATCTGGGCCAACCTACTTTCAACCTTACTGCAAGAGACTAATTATTCTGATTCCTTTCCTAACCCTAAACCCTAAACCCTAAACCCTAAACCCTAAACCCTAAACCCTTCTTATGCTTAGACTCTTCCCTTCTATCGGGTTGAAGGCTTCGGCAGTAGGCCCTAGGTTGCAAAGCTCGGCTTGGTGTAGAGAAGAAAAGCAGATCCATCGCTACCATCATGGGTTTAGGGTTTAGGGTTTAGGGGTTTAGGGTTTAGGGTTTAGGGGTTTAGGGTTTAGGGTTTAGGGGTTTAGGGTTTAGGGTTTATAGGCTTTGGCTTTAGGGTTTAAGGTGCCGCGATCTTCTGAAGGCCAAATCCTGCTTGAAAGCTCCAGCCCACCCGAAGAACTGAAGCTGCTCTTTTTCCACAAGGTGCCAGCCCAGCCACTAAGGGCAAGCACCACGGTTGATGATAGAAATCCTGCATGACCCATAATAAGCAATATACCATAATTCCCATAGTTTAGGGTCCTTAAGGTAATGCAGGATTTATATCATCAACTGTAGTGATGGTAGTACCGCTACCTGCCACAGTAGCAATACTGCAGTAGCAATGTCGTCTGCAACAGGAAACAGGAAAGAACCAAGGTTTGACGAAGCAGAAGAAGAAGCTACAACTGCTCTTCGAAGTGCATTGGGGACGCAAGTGAGTAAGCTCTTGACGGATCCCCGTTGAGGGTTCGAGATGTTGGCTTTTGGGATTGGGTTTGTTTGAGCCCTAAACCATAAAACGCTGAATGCGTAAACCCCTAAACCCAAAAGCCTGGCCTCCTTTTATAAAACCCTTAAAATAAGCCCTTCTGATTTAGAACCCCTCATCGCCGCCTCGCGGAAGTTAAAACTCTTGAACTGCTCGATGTACTTGGCCTCTCAGGTTGAGGAGTTTAATAGGGATTAGGGGTTAGGGTAAGTGTTTAGGGTTTTAGGGTTTAGGGTTCAGGGTTTAGGGGTTTAAGGCTTGGAGTTTTCGGGTTTGGGCTGCAGGATTTCGGACGTACTGTAAGGACTTGGAGGTTCAGTTGAGGGCTCAAGGGTTTAGCGGGAAACGGTGTGGGTGTAGGACTTCGAGTGCAGGTAAACCCTAAACCCTACTTAAAGGTTCATGGGTAGTTACAAGTGGGGTTGTAAATAAGAAATAATTGCAACCCGTATTCGGGACCTATAACCCTATTTATAACTGCTCATGAACCTCTCAGTAGGCCCTAAACCCTATACCCTTATAGAACCTCTATAGATCCCACCAAAAGGGCCCACAAAGGAACCCTTATAACTACCCATGAACCTCTAAGCAGACTTCCTAAACCCCAAAGAAGTCGCGAAGCCGCTCTGCGGAGCCGCTCGCAACACCCTGCCATCACCCAGAGAACCCAATTCAATAACCCTTAACTAAGGAATCTTCCTTAAACTTTAGAGGCCTTCGTAGTATGATTTAAGGTATATTCCTTAATTAAGGGGCATATTGGGATCTCTGGGCATGCAGCTCCACTCCTTTAACATCATAGCAGCGTCACGCGCAGGATGCTTATGACTCTGGGTTTAGGCTTTAGGGGTTAGGGGTTAGGGTTTAGGAGTTAGTTTTTAGGGTTATGGCGGTGATGGTGATGGTGATGATTAAAATAACGGTGAAGATGATTTGGGGCAGGTGGGATAAACACGAGCATAGTAAGAATAAGAACATGATGATGCTGACGATGAAGAAGAAGGATATGATGATGATGGTGATGATGGTGCTGTCGGTGGTGCTGATGGTGATGATGTTGGTGATGATGCTGTTGATGAGGATGACGGCGGCGACGATGACGATGACGATGATGACCGCGATGATACGGATGCTTATCCTGATCCTCATGCAGCTGCATAGTGATGATGATGATGATGATGATGACAATGATGATTATGACGATGATGGTCATGACGATGACGATGATGATGATGATGATGATGATGACGATTGCACGTTATGCACACATGCGAGAAAGTATCATCAAAGACTCAACAGAATGATGGGGTCACCCTACTCCCCAAATAAAGGGATCCCGATTACATATACCACCCAAATAATCACTCCCCCGATGCATAAAACAAGGCCCTAATCACGAAAGACTTGCCGGAAAATTCACCCAGAAACATCCCACCATCTAAAGCATGTTTTTTTTTTTTTGGGGGGGGGGGGCGTTCACGAGCATGAGCAAGAGAAGCAGCAGGAGCAAGAGCAGGAGTAAGAGCAAGAGGACGAGCAAGCGCAACAGCAGGAGCAAGAGAGGAAGCAAGATCGGGACAGCGCAAGAGCAAGCCCCCACAAAAGTGACAGTGGAGATAACCGCCGCCCGCTTGATTGTTGGGGGAAGGGGTTAAAGGGTCTAAAGTAATGGGTCTAAACCCTTCAAACCACACCCTCTTATAGTAATAATAATAATTAGCAATAATAATAATAATGATATGAACAATAAATGCTCCGCCACATGTGGACCTCCGCAAGGACCCACTTCCCCTTAAATCCTGGAGAGGTCGCATCGAAAACAAAAAGCCGCTGACATCAGGCACGTGAAGCCCCCCTTAGCAATGGAAGCCCTACTTTCAGCCTTCTAAGGCTTTAAATAACTTAGGATTTAGGTTACAAGTTGATCCGGTTGAGAGAACTGAAGACCACACAAAATCGGATACATTGGTTCCTTCAAGTTGAGAAGATACATCTGTAACTGTGATATAAGGACCGAAAAAAGTTAGAATAAGGATTTGGTGCCCTCAAAACAGTATTGGTAATTATTTAAGCCTCTATATTATAGAACCCAACTATAGAGCCCTTATAGACCCTTTTAAGGAACCCCTATAGATCCCTTAAGCCCTTAAGGATCCCCTTGATGGACGGCCCTCGTCGGTGGCCTTCCCCAGGGACCCAAACCCATGCCGTAGCCCTCATAGACCCTGTACAGGAATCCTTTGAAAGGAACCCTGCAAAGCCCCCCTTTTAGAGGTAGTCGATGGCCTTCCCCAGGGGCCCGATGATGGGCCCAGCGAACTCGAAGTCTTCGGCGAGAAGCTCGGGAGCCGTCACGTCATCCTCCGTTGGATGCTGGGGGTTTAGGGGTTTAGGGGTCCTTTCATTTAAAGGGATCTTATTAAGGGTTCTTACAGGGGGTACTTCAAGCGATCTATAAGGGTACTGTAAGGGGTTTAGGGTCTAGTAGGGTTCAGGGTTCAGGGGTTTAGGGGTTTATGGTTTAGGGTTTCGGGATCTAGGGTTGAAGGTTGGGCCTTGTATGAGGGGCTTTATAAGATTGCAGTGGTGCGCCAAGGGGGCTTACATGGTTGTCTGGTTTTCGTTGAAGTGTAGTAGGATTACAGAGTTCGATAGGGTTACAAAACCTCAACCCGAAACTCTGCAACCTTAGCTTTAACTTAACTCCAAGCCCACAGCACCCTAACCCAGAGTGCTCAATACCCCTTGACTAGGCAATCGGCCTTAAACTCATAATCTATAGCCCATACATTCCTTGACTAAGTCGTGTTGGGTTCTCTTCCCTAAACCCTAAACTAGGATGCCCAGTAACCTAGGAATAGAAAGGGCTCCCTTTTTGGCACTGGGTAACTTTATAAGGAACCTAGGACTACAAAAAGGGCATAAGACTACTACTGGACATCCTGGTAAACTAGCCCTAAGCCATCAACCCCAATGCCAAGATCTGTAGCCCGTGAACCCAAAACCTAAACCCTAAACCCTGGAGCATCCCACATCCCAAACCCTAAAAGGATAAGCCTCTACACCAAACCATAGATGACATTGATATACCATTGGGTGCAGGACATGAAGTAGGGAGTACGCCTATACGCCCTGAACCCCGAACCGGAACCATAGACCATCCTAAGCCTAAACCCCTAAAGCTCCACCAGGACAGCACAAAAACTTAAGGCCTCAGATCGTAACCCATGATCCCAACATCCCCAAGGCCCTAAACCCCCCAAAACCACAAAAACCCGAGGTCATAACCCATGCAGTCGAAAACCCCAAGACCCCCCTAAAACCCTAAAACCCTAAACCTGAAGCCCCAAAACACGGAACCCTAAAGGCCCTAAATCCTAAACCATGGTTTAGGGTTTAGAGTTTAGGGTTTAGGGCTTAACCATGGACCCAAAAAAAACAAGGGCCCTAAAGCCCCAAAAGCCGAAACCATGAACCCAGAAGCCGAATCACCTAAAGTCCCACCGAAACGCTGGAGGAGACAAAGGGCTTGGTTTAAAGCCAAATAAATCTTCGCTCGCCGTATCAGCTCTTCCTCCAATGGAAAACTGAATGTCTGCTAGGGTTGAGGATTTAGGGTTTATGGCTTCCTCCCGGAAAGGTTTAAATATCTAGCAGGGGGGGCAGTTTAGGGAGTTGTGGGTTTCGGGTTGAGGGCTTAGGGTCTCGGGTTTACAGTAGGGTTGATCAAAGCGCCGGCCTATACCCCGTCCTGTAAACAAGACCCAAGAGTAGCCTAGGAACAAAAAGGGTGCCCTTTTTGGTTTAAAGGGGCTTATAAGGGAACCTGAACCATTAAAAAAGGGAATAAAGGCCCACTCTAGGTCCGAGTAATAGTTAGACTAGAGTTCTGAAGGGCTTTGGGGGGGGTTGAGGCTGTAAGGATCCTCAGGGTTTGGGATTTAGTGCTACTGTTCATGCTGAATATGGAAGTCTCCGAAAATTAGGGGTCCCTTATTTTGGAATCTTTGCAATAAGGATCCTACCATTAAGGGTACTACATTAGGGTCCCCTACTTTCGGAAACTCCCGTACTACTAGTACTGGGACACATGAATATACATATACTACCACATGCATGTGTTTAGCTCACCTTATGTTCGAGCAAGTGAGAGAGGAACGGGTTTGCTTTAGAGTATCGGGCGCAAAGGGTTCCGGCTGTGATGGGAGGCCGAAAGGGAGGTTTAAGATTCTTGGGGTAGGGATTCCTCAAAATGAACTCGATTACGGGAACCCAAATCCTACTAAACCCCCACTCCTATGAGGCTGTAGGGACTGCAGAACCCAGATCTCTAGGCTGGACTTTGACCATTTAGGCACCACGAGGGCTCCATGATCCCGTTACTGTAGCGGTCTCAATAATTAACATGGGTGGTTGTCAAAATTAGGGTCCCTTTGTGGGTCCTTATTATAATATGGCACCTAATATTTAGGGTACCCAAAAAGGGACCCTAATTTTGACAACCACCCACATGGGGTTTGGGGGCCCATGATACTAAATTACAAAAATGAGGAACCTCCACAATAGTATTGGTATTTACCTCGGCCCCTATACTATAGAACGCTACTACAGATAGATCCCTTATAGACCCCTTGAGGGAACTCTTTAACGGAACTTATAAATCCCTTCAAGGTAAGAATCCCTGTATTTGCTCCTGGCCTTAGAGGTCTATGAGCTAGGCCTTCAGGGCATGTTGACTTGAGCTGCGGAGGATTTCATTGCTTAGGGTATAGGGTTTAGGGCCGTTTAGGGAGGCCTTTCAATTTCAAACCCAAATCCCTTCCTGAAGAAGCTAAGATCCCTGAGATCCCAAGCTTCCGAAGGAGTGCTACGAGTTTCAGCAGCCTGTCAAAGATAGCCCTTGGAAGCTAAAAACTCTCATAAATGTCGAAGACCGAGCGGCCATGACTTCCAAAATCCCAGCTTCTACTGCAACCAATGCCTCAACCCAGACTTCCATCGTGAACTCGATCCCCCCCTCAAAGTGATACAGTAGATGCCAGCAAGTTGGAACATCAATCCCCTCATGCCCTTAAGGTAGAGTATAGGGGATTCTAGCATCAATCCTCCTAAACCCATGTTCCAACTTTCTGGGGTTCTCTATAAACCCCTAAACCCTGCCTGTAAACCCCCTTAAAGGAACCCTTATAGATCCCTTTCAGGAACCCTTATAGATTATAGATCCCTTTAAAGGAACCCTTATAGATCCCTTTAAGGGAGTAGACCGGGCCTGTGAGGGCTAGCTATGCCAGCTATGCCTACCACCAGTATCATCCGTTCGGCAGGGCACTACTGTTGATGGTATAAATCTTGCATTACCTTAATGATCCTAAACTATGGGAATTATGGAATCTTCACTTATTGTGGGTCGTGCAGGGTTTATAATTTCAGGTCCGGTGCTGATGCAGGGGAGAAGAATGCCTAGCAGCCCCTGCAGGGAAATGCTGTGACTGTTTCGGCGGCGGGCGTCCTGACCAACTTCCTGAAGTGCAAGGGCGGCTCCCAAGGAAGAAAAGGTCGAGCAGGCGTCCTTGGAAGATGGAGAAGATGGGGAAGATGGAGTGGAGATGGCCTTCGGCTTCTGTACTCCAGGTGAATTGAGCCATCCTCGTCCATCATTTACCCTTTGCTATCCGTTCGGAACACTGCCCCCTTGGTTTCTTCAGCTGGTCGAGGACCTTCTTCGGTTCCGCTCTTTTCTTTGTCTCGGCTCCCTTGTGTTCCTCCAGTAAGCTGGAGACTTCTAACCAAGCTGGACTTTTCCCCCGAGGGTTCGGCGGTGGCGTAGGCATTTTCTCCGCGGAACAGGAGGTGGCGATGGAAGTTCTGAACCGTTCCATCTCTGAACATCCGCGAAGACCCTGCCAGCAAGACGCAAAACTCCGTAAAACCCCAAACCCTGCCTTCAACCTCCAAACCCCTAACCCTAGACCCCATACCCTCACCTGATATTTTTGGGGGTCCTTTATAATATGGATCCTACTATTTAGGGTACTTTACGAGGGTTCACTACTTTCGGAAATTCCCTGACTGACCCCCAAAGTCCTTCTAGGATACCCAGTAACCTAAGAATAAAAAGGCCTCTCTTTTTGGTATTGGGTAACTTTATAAGGAACCTAGGACTACAAAAAGGGAATAAGGGTACTACTGGGCCACTACTTTCGGAAACTCGATGACTGACCCCCAAAGTCCTTAAATCCAACCCTAAACCCTGAACCCTAAACCCTAAAAACACCCAGGAAGGCTCCTCGGAGAAGGGGAAGGGCTTTTCTTTCCGCTTCGCCTCCTCGTCTGTCACCTGCTTGACGGTCTAGTAGGGTTTAGGGTTTTGGGTTTAGGGTTCAGCAGCTCTGACTTTGAAGATTTCATGTCAAGCTTTTTCTAGTCAAGCTATCTTCAAGAAGAAACCCCACCAGCCCAGAGAATCCCATCACATTAGAAATAAAAGCTTTATTTCTTTTGGCTTGAATTATTACAGAATACCTTACATACAACTCCAAGAATTTAATATTTCAGGCCGGAAATGTGTCATCTTTTCCGCCTTACAGAAGGAAGCATGACACATTTCAGGCCGGAAATGTGTCATCGCTTCCGCATTACAGAAAGAAGCATGACACATTTCAGGCCGGAAATGTGTCATCGTTTCCGCCTTACAGAAAGAAGCATGACACATATCAGGCCGGAAATGTGTCATCTTTTCCGCCTTACAGAAAGAAGCATGACACATTTCAGGCCGGAAATGTGTCATCGTTTCCGCCTTACAGAAAGAAGCATGACACATGTCAGGCCGGAAATGTGTCATCTTTTCCGCCTTACAGAAAGAAGCATGACACATTTCAGGCCGGAAATGTGTCATCTTTTCCGCCTTACAGAAAGAAGCATGGCACATTTCAGGCCGGAAATGTGTCATCGTTTCCGCCTTACAGAAAGAAGCATGACACATTTCAGGCCGGAAATGTGTCATCTTTTCCGCCTTACAGAAGGAAGCATGACACATTTCAGGCCGGAAATGTGTCATCGTTTCCGCCTTACAGAAGGAAGCATGACACATTTCAGGCCGGAAATGTGTCATCTTTTCCGCCTTACAGAAAGAAGCATGACACATTTCAGGCCGGAAATGTGTCATCGTTTCCGCCTTAGGCCCAAACCATAGGCCCTAAACCCTAGGGCCCAAACCCTAGGCCCTAAACCCTAGGGCCCAAACCCTAGGCCCTAAACCCTAAGGCCCAAACCCTCGGCCCTAAACCCTAGGCCCCAAACCCTAGGCCCTAAACCCTAAGGCCCAAACCCTAGGCCCTAAACCCTAGGGCCCAAACCCTCGGCCCTAAACCCTAGAGCCCAAACCCTAGGCCCTAAACTCTAGGGCCCAAACCCTAGGGCCCAAACCCTAGGGGGACGTCAAGAGCCACGAAACTTTCGGCACGAGCCACGAGTTTTGATCAAGAGCCACGAAACTTTCAGCAAGAGCCACGAGTTTTGATCAAGAGCCACGAAACTTTCGGCAAGAGCCACGAGTTTTGATCAAGAGCCACGAAACTTTCGGCAAGAGCCACGAGTTTTGATCAAGAGCCACGAAACTTTTGGCAAGAGCCACGAGTTTTGATCAAGAGCCACGAAACTTTCGGCAAGAGCCACGAGTTTTGATCAAGAGCCACGAAACTTTCGGCAAGAGCCACGAGTTTTGATCAAGAGCCACGAAACTTTCGGCAAGAGCCACGAGTTTTGATCAAGAGCCACGAAACTTTCGGCAAGAGCCACGAAGACTATAAGGTTTAAAGTACTATAGGTAGAGAGGTTTAGGGTTTTGGGTTTAGGGTTTAGGGTTTGGGGTTTAGGGTTTTGGGTTTGGGGTTTTGGGTTTAGGGTTTGGGGTTTTGGGTTTAGGGTGTTGGGTTTAGGGTTTAGGGTTTTGGGTTAGGGTAGCCCAGTATTAACGAGGGTACCCTTGTTCCTACTATCTGGTTTGTTGTCAGGGCACCACCAAAAAGAAGGCAAAAGTTCTCTACTGGGAAAGCTGTGAAGGATCAAGGTTTCTCGGGATGACGCGGGTGGGACGTAATCAGAGTACGTAGCTACGGATCCGGTGCTTTCTCTACGCCCTTCTGGCTTAAGGGCTTCAGTGCTGGGGCTGCGGTCCTTTCTTACGTGGCGGGGTGGGGGTTCTAGAACTTGGGATTATATTCTAAGCTCCTCGGTAATCCCCTTTAAGGGTACCCCTTTCCTAATAATGTGTTTCTGTAATTAAGGAGAACCCAAAAAAGAATGGGCAAATAACCCTCAAAGCCCCGACGCAACGTGCGCAACAATACAACAAATCCCAAAAGGGCTCAAACCCAAAAAAGTAAAACCACTGACAAAACAAAAAGTACAAAACACAATTCAAAAGCCCCAAACCGCCCAAGCACAACAAGCATCCCTAAACCCCTAAACCCTATAAACCCTAAACCTAAACCCTAAACCCCAAAACTCTAAACCCCTAAATCCTAAATCGTAACCCCTAAACCCGAAACAACCGTAAGATCGCGCCTGGGTGCTAAGGAAGTGCTCCACCAGCTCCCGCTGCTCCGGGCTTAGGTCGGCCTGGTTCAGGGGCCTTACTAGTGGTTTGAGCCTCGATGAGGGCTTGGGTTTAGGGTTTGGGGTAGGTTGATCGTACTCGATAATTGTAACAAGTTATCATCCAAGTAGTATTGGTGGTTATTTAGGCCAATGCATTACGCGAGGTTGAGTGTTGTAGGTGTTTTGAGTGTGAACAAATGGATCGGGCTTTCACTTTCTTGATCTTTCTTGCGTTTTAGAAAATGACGAGGCTTACAAAGGTTGCCAAAGGGGCCTCTCTTGAGCTTAGGCTTGAGATCGCTCCCATGGAAAGCATCGAAATTCGGGAACTCACGCAGGTCATAGTTTAATTCAGGAAATGGGATCATGACGACACCTCATTGCAATTGGATGCAATTGGATTTATGACTGTGGTTCTGAATAGTGTGGTGTGGGCATCACCTACAAGCTTTAAGGGTGTAGAGCGTAAGCCGCCAAACCCCCAATCCCTAAACCTTAGACCCTTGTGCCGTGGAAAACACCGGCTAAACCCTAAACCCCTACAGACCCTAAACCCCAAACCCTAACCTGCAAAACCCCAAAGGCCAAGACCTCCGCCAGCACCCGTCGAGAGGTTCGCAGTTCCGAGGTCCGTCCAACAGCCGGCGCCGTCGAAACCTGAAGCCCCGAGCGCCGTAGCAAACCGTAAACGAAAATCTTCGGAAAATCCTGCGCAGGAAGCACAAGACCTAAATCTCCTGAGCTTTACAGCCCGGGTAGAGGGATTTAGGCGTTTAGGGCGGGCTTATGGACCTCGTAAGCCCCACAACCCAACAGGTCAAGCATGGTGGGTGTGCAACGGGTGGGGTTCAGGATCTGAGGCCCTCACACCGGAAACCCCGGTCAGAGGCCTGAACGGCTAAACTGAGGTTGCGGGGTACAGTAAGTACCACTGTCACAAACTGCTCAGGCCCTCCTTTTGGGATTCTTCCGGTGACCGGAGAAGTACAAGCTGGATCATAAATTCAGCTGAATGTGACGTTGCGGCGGGGGGGGGGGGGCATTTGTTAGTATTGGAGTTTGTACAGTGCGCTTCACGTCAGCTGGGATGTTGGAGTGTGCCCAAGCAGACAGAGTCAGAATGCACGCGATCCTGAGCCCCAAGACGACTCAAGTCGGGCAGTCATTCCCAGTAGCAGATGATGCTTCCAAGACTAGCAGTGACAAAGCGCCTTTGTTGTTATATACGGCCTCAATACTTGAAAAAGGGTCTTGCGACGATGTCAAATTTCTAGTTCAAATTCTACGGAATATCATTGCATGGCAATTGTGCAAGCCGCTGCAGAAAGCAAAACAGCTCCAAGCCAAGTTTCGAAGCTCACATGTGCTCCTGATTTTTGTTTGGTTGGGCATCTCAAACCTCCGAATGCCTAAAGGCTCTGATTATAAACTCTGACAAAAGCAATGCTGCCCTTAATCCTGCATACTGAAGCTCCCAAGTGGCGAAGTTGAAGGCCGATCCCGCCAGCGCAAGAAGCGCAGCTCCAGAAAGAACGCGTCGCCACGAGCGACGGGGCATCGCCATCGCTTTTTGCACAGATGTCAAAGCACGAACCCTCAATCCGGGTTTTGGTAGGCTCGAAATGTAAGGGGGGAGCTGCCGGTAGCTTGAGGATTCAATGACCGGAAGATGTAATGACTGTGCAAACGGGAACTTACGACATGAATTTGATCACATACGCTGAACCAGAAAGTTCTCGCGCAAAAACATGAAGAATCCTATGCAAAAACCTCGTAAGACTCTTGTAAAGTCACCGAAAATAAAACCCTTATGATACCGACGCCACACTTCCGAAAACGAATCCAATTTCCTGGACCGTACATACATGCTGGGCTTCCTTATTACAGTTATTGTCTAATACACCCCAAAACCCTGTTCTATACAGTAAGGCCTTTATAGTACTCTAGTATGATTTCCTTGACTTGGCACTGTGGCTGTTCAAGATTGTGGTTGAGGGTTTAAGGTAGGGTTCACTTGGTCGTTTATGGGTCCCGTTATAGGAGCTATAATTACAGTTGTCATAACTAAAGCCCCAGTTAGAACTACCCGTGAACCTCCAAGTATGGTTAGCATCCTCAGTTTCTCAGCCCCATGTCAAAAGCTTTCTTCAACAGTGATCGGAGCAAACGACCCATAAACCCTAAAGCCCAATAAGCTCTAGGCCCTACACCTTAAAAGCCCTAAATCCTAACCCTAAATCCCAAGCCCTAAACCGAGAGCAAGAAATCGACATCTCAATGTCCTATGCTGTTCAGGTCCCTAAACCCTGAACCCCTAAACCCCTTAACCCTAAACCCTAACACCCATGCTCTTGAGGATTCGCGGTTCGATTCTGGAAACTGTTTTAGTTCATTCGTACAGACACCCTGAACCCTAAACAAGGCCTTCAATGCATCGTTCGGCGACCAAGTACACCATGGACCCTAAACCCTGCGCCCTAAACCCTAAACCCTGAACCCTTAAGCCGAAGTACACCCAAGACCCTATAAGCCCTAAGACCCTAAACACCAAAAAGCCCTAAACTCTAGCCCCTGAGCCCCAAAATGCCCTAAGCCCTAAACCCTAAACCCCAAAAAGCCCTAAACTCCGAGCGACAGAGGTTCGATGGACGGGGGGCGGATCGGGGCTCCCAGCTGCCTCTGCAGAAACATTTTTTTTTTTTGTTTGGGGGGGGGGGTCGGGTTTAGGGCTTTTTTGGGGTGTGGTGCTTTTTCAGGCTTTTTGGTGCTTTAGGGCTTTTCAGGGTTTAGGGGCTTAGGGTTTAGGGGTTTAGGGTTGAGGATATGGGTTTTTAAGGGTTGTTGGAGTTTAAGGCCCTCGGGTTTGGGGCGGGGAAGAAGCCAGGCTCTCAGGCGTCAGGGATTCTTTTGTGATCAGAATTCCCCAAAACAAGGTTCCCTCAAATCATGCTTTTCGAGTTTATTTAGGATAAAGGGCTTCAGAGTTTAGGGTTCAGGGGCGAGGGTGTCTGCAAATTCGACCTGCAACCCCCGAATCAAACTCTTTAAACCCTTAAAACCTTCTATCAAAACCCGAAAAAAAAGCTCCCTTAAAGACCTTGAAACCCCCTACAACCCCCTGAAACCATGTAAACCTTTAGAACCCTTTAACAAACTTGAAACCCCTGCAATTAGAATAATTAACCCCCTAAAACCCTTGAAACCTGTCAAAACCCTCAGACAAACCCCCTTTAAACGAGGCTGTTCAGAAACCCACTGGGAAAAGTATATACTTCTCTATAGGCTTCTTATTTTATAGTCGGAACCCAGAAACCTGAAAGTAAAAAAGTGTACCACTGAACAGCCCTCAACCCTAAACCCCTAAACCCCAAACCCTAAATTCCTAAACCCTAAACCCTAAAACCCTAAACCGTAAAACCCTAAACTTTTAAAACACTCCGGGGGGCCTCGTCCGGACTGGAACCTGGAGGGCTGCTGGAGGCGCTGCCCAGCTTCTGCAGGTCCTACGCTTTGTAGGGTCCATGGGGTTTAGGGCTTCGGGTTCATGGGGTTTGGGGTTTAGGGCTTAGGGTGCAGGGGCTTAAGGGGTTTCGGGCTTAGGGTGCAGGGGTTTAGGGTTTAGGGTTTAGGGTTTAGGGTTTCAAGGGTTTAGGGTTGAAGGGCTTAGGGTTTAGGGTTTTAGGGTTTGAGGCTTGGGCCTTTTATTCTGCAGGTCCTGCGCTTTGTAGGGTTTAGGGCCTGGTGTTTAGGGGTTTAGGGTTTGAAGGTCCAGGGTTTAGGGGTTAGGGTCCTGTGCTTTTTGGGGGTTTAGGGGCTTTTGGGGGCCTTAAAGTTTAGGGTTTCAGGGTTTGGGTTTAGCGCTCCGCGGGTTTAGGGTTTAGTGTTTGGGGTTGAGGAGTTTTTTTTTTTTTTTTGCGGGGGGGGGGGGGGGGGGCGTTGAGGGGTTGGGGTTGAGGAGTTTAGGGTTTGGGGCTTAGGGTTGAAGTTTTTCGGGCTTAGGGCTCGTTGTTTGAAGATGGGCTTAGGTTCAAGCTTCGGGTTTTGGGGTTTAGGGCCTCGGGTTCAGGTTTAGGATAGTACCAGTCAAAGTGACACAGATAATGGCACTGATGGTAGTGACAACGATGACTCCGGCGACAACAACAACTGTAGTAATATTGGCAAGCATACCAATAATTCATAACAAAATCATCCTAAAAGATGGTAATGACAATACTGAAAGAAGTTAAGAATGCTAAGTAGCTGTAACTAACAGCAGGGCTTGCTGTTTGGGGCCTTAGTGTTCTTGAACGGTTGTTCTACATACGTCTGCCGCAGCTTGAGTTCGTAATACCAATGCCGGAGAACTATAGGCTTCGAGTAAGCAGGCCGTTGTGCGAAGACCCCCATTTGCTTTCCTGATTCCTCTGGCTACACCCTTAAATCTGAAACTCTAAAATACCCTATACCCTAACCTCTAGATGCCCTACACCCTAAATACCACTAAATGCCTAAACCTAAACCCTAACAATTCTTACCTGCAACCTCAGACTTCAAAACGGTCAGTCGCGCGAGTGTCCTCAGTCTCCTCGTCCAGGATGGGCCCTGGATGTCACCACGAAAAAGAAGCTATGAGTCACAAGAAGATTGAGGCTTATGTGTTTAGGTATATCCACGTATGCCCATAAATTAGTTAAAACTACCCCAAACCCTCAGCCCTAAGCCCTATCGATGGCCGCTTACGGGCTTCGCGCAGTCAGAGCTTGGGCATGCCGTCTGGAGCTAAGCAAAGGCTTGCTTCAGACCTTTTAGGGTTCGGGGTTCAAGGGTTTAGGTGTTTAGCCGTTTAGCACTTCGGGCTTACGGTTTAAGGGTTAACAGGATACCGGCACCTCGAGGAGTACATAAACCGTGCACCGGGATTGACGGAGGGTGTCTTGTGGAGTGAAGTGTACGGCTAGAACATGCTATAAAGAACTCCGACCCGTCATTTCCGAGGTTTGAACCGAGAAAAGTTGGCCTCCGACATAGAAACCCTAGTCCAACAACCCAAATAATCTGGTCGCCTAATTTGGTGCCTTGATTTTCTGAATTCCACCTGTGGGGTTTCGATAGCAAGAGTGGATGCAAGAGCGATGTACCTTTTCGGGAAAGCAAGTCAGGGATCCTAATGAAGCCAACCACCGGAATGATTTCATACAGGGTCCTTCTTCGGTGATTTCAAAGAGGTGTGTGGGCTTTCTATATAGCAAAGATAAGGAAGCCAGGGGAATAACACGGGTAATGATCCTGGGTTGTATGTTATGTTATGTTCCCTACATCCAGGGTTGATGGCTTAGGGTTCAAAGTCTGCAGGGCACCTGTCGCACCAATTATGCCTACACAAAAAGCCAACAAAATGACCCACAAACCGCACAGCCAACACAAGAACGCTTTCACCCCGAATCCTTCAGTCCCAAACTCACCCTAACTAAACCCTAAACCCCCCAACCCTAAACCCTGAACCCTAAACCCCTGAACCCTAAACCCCTAAACCCTAAAACCCTCAATTATAAGGATCCTACTATTTAGGGTACTATACTAGGGTCCCCTATTTTCGGAACCCCCCATATAGAATTCTATAAGCTAACCCCAAAACGGAGCTACTTTGCGGCCTATGGGTAGTAACTCCTCATGCACCCACGTAGCCTCGAGCCCTATCGACCCGAAGCCCTCCACCCCAAATCCTAATACTTAGGGTTTAGGGGTTAGGGTTTAGGGGCTAGGGTTTAGGGTTTAGGGGCTAGGGTTTAGGGTTTAGGGGCTAGGGTTTAGGGTTTAGGGGTTAGGGTTTAGGGTTCAGGGTACTCACTCCCCGAACCCTACAAAATCTGATAAACCCTGCATGCCGTAAACCCTAAAACACCCAACCTCTTAGCCTATACTACCGGAACCCTACAAAATCTGATAAACACCGTCTCCCTCGACTTTACACCCTAAACACCACAGACCTAAACCCTAAAACCTTGCAACTCCTGAACCCTAAGCCCTGAAACCCGCTAAGCCCCATAAACTCTATGAGCTAAACCCTTAACCCCTAAACCCTTTCACTTAAATCCTCAATTCAACCCTAAACCCTATAGGTTCCTCCGCAATCCTTCAACACTAAACCCTATAAGAACCCCCCTCTAAACCTTTTAGGAAGCAAGGCCTGCCGTTGGCCTTCTTTTCACAGGGTTGCGGTCCGAGGTCTGATTTAGCGAGTTGCACCTGAATCTCCTCTTCATAGACTCGGGCGCGGACACGTTCGCACTACTGCCACGTCTGGCTGCCTCATGCTGAGCGCAATGAACTTCTTCCACGCAGAGGCTTCTCCATCATTGAGCTCACTGTACGCATGAGTAACGCACCACATGCGCAGATCATCTGCAATTTCTCTCATCGCATTGTTAACCACACCCCTGAAGTACCAACTCTGCTTGGAGGTTCATGGGTAGTTAAAGTGGGGTTATAGGTAGGGTAACTCTAGTTATAAGCCCTATTGGGGGACTTATAAACCCACCTATAACTACCCTAAACCCTATAAACCCTAAACCCTTATACCCT